AGAGTAGAATCAATATTAAATAAAAGCCTTTTTTGATTTAATAAAATCTACTTGCTGTCAAATATACAGAATTTGGCAATTTATGCATGTATTATAGTAAATGGTCTAAAATCTTATAAAAATAAATTTACCTTAAATGCATGCTATTATTAAAATATTTAGGCTTTAACTATGCCAAATATGTATGACCTATCATGTAATAATGCAACTTTATCAGCTACAAAACTAAATTCATTGGAGTATGGGCCCTAATAAGAAGTCACACTAGATTATGATAGTTGAAACTTTATCGTCAACATCTGGTCCTTTATTTGTGGATATAAGTGGTAGTCTGGCCAATTCCATTGGGCTTGGAATGAAAACAACCAACGGCTGCCGCCGTCATTCTAGAGAGGGTGAAAACTAAGCTAGCAGGAGCAAGATGTGGGGGGGTGCTGGGAAGGCTATCTTGGGCTGCTCCTACTGCTCTTGCCTATCTCTAGGATTCAAATAGGAAGATATGAGAGTAGTGAGAGAGGAGTTGAGTCCTTCCTATGTCACTAGGTGGTGAATCCATAAAATAAAGAGGGCTTTAAATTGGAGAATATTTTAGAAGTAAGTTTTTCACCAAGACCTAGGGATGTAATGCTATGGCCACTCTTTGTTTATTCCCTATACCTCACAACTAAGCCATACTTTAAAGAGCACTGTCGGTACCATGGTGTTTTACCTCTCCAAGTGACTCCTTGTGATAGGTTACTCATGTCGACCCTTGCATGCGCATGCATGATAGACATTCATATAGTGAGTATAGTGAGGAGATGGCGGCAGCAAAGTGCCACAATGGTGCTGGCCAAGGAAGATAGGAGCTCCTTGCTGAAGGTGCAGACCACCAATGGCATCCTGATAGGTCCAAATTTTAATAATTTTGCATCACTATTTTAACTCAAACTTAACCAACAATAATTAAGATTTTTTTTACTCAGTTATTCTATATCAGACATAGGGCAAGTAAGGGGTCAATCCACAAGAAGGCAGAAATCCAATTTCAGAATTGTTTGAGACCTAGAAATGATAAAAATAGGTTTAGGAGTTAAAATTTTATTCTTATAGATTTTTATAGAGCTTAGTAAAAAATTTTGGAATTTTACTGTGCACAAAACACAGCTAATGATTATAATTTTATTTTTTAATATTTTTTCTAATTTTAATTGATTTTTATATTTTTTTAAAATGCAAAAGAACAACAATAAATAATAATAAAATAACTTACCTTGGTGGTTGATGGTCGGGTCAGGGGGGGGCAGTAGGTGGCGGTGGTGGTCAGCAGATGTGTGGCGGCTGTGACCGTTTTCGGACTTTCGGTTACGTCCGGAAGGGAGCAGCGATTGCACGGCGGCTGGTGATGGGCATGCGGCGGTGGTCAGCGGACGTGCAGCTGCCAGCGATAGGCGGCAGCAGTGGTCGGCAGATGAGAGAGACAATGAGCAGCGGAGTGGCGGAGTGGCAGATCACAACAATGATGGATGAGGAAATGGATGACCTCTTTTTTTGTGAGTTTTTTAGGACTAACTGGAGAGAGAAAAAAAACACGAATCCTAAAGAGAGCAAGTGGACGAAATGGTGGGGTAGAGAGAGAAAACGAAGGAAAAATGAAGGGGAAATAGTGAGAAGCGATGGAGAAGAGGAGAAATGATGATTTGATGCAAACCTGGTGCTCATTTCTTGAGCCCTCAATGTATCCTCTCAAGTTCGGATCCTTATATTCCGCCAGGATTGGACGTTTTCCTCCGAATCAAATAAGAGAGAAGATTGAATGATTACTTCAAGAAACTTACACCAAGCAAGGAGAATCCTTGGACCCTGTAGAGACTTGTCCTGCTGGCCAGCCTATTACTAGAGCACGCCCAGAATGACCCGAAAGAGAGAGAAGAGAAGAGTTTTTATACATGGGCAAGTATGACTAAAATGCCTCTTCCCTAATCTCTCTCCACGAATTTCAAAATCTCTTCCTCTAGAATGGATTTAGGAAGGTCCAAATGGGCCTGGACATGGCCTCAAAACCTCTTCTAATTTCTCTCTTAAGCTCCAAAATCGAAATTCCTCCAAAGTACTCCTAGCCCATTAAGCTAACTTTCATCCACTAAAGTGCCCCTAATTTATTGTTCATTTCTGTTAAATTCTGCACACATGAAAACTTGAAAATATTTATTAGTAATAAAACATCTTGACTTCATAGAAGTCAAGCAGGGTTACTCAAAATCATGCAAAAGTCATGCGTAATGTAGAAATAGTGAAATTACTGCAAACCTAAGAATATTTAAATAATTATGTTAATGACATAGTATTTTCAAGATTTAAATGAACAAAAATCACATGAAATGTAAGGAATAGTCAACACAAATATAATGTTATCACATCCAGTATCGGAGAAAAACGAAATGCAAACTCCTAAAGCTGGACGAAGATTGTGATGGCAAGCCCAGTAAACTTCTCGTTTGGGAGATCATGCTTGACAGTTATCTACATCTGCTACCATATTCCAATTGTCCCTGTCTGTCACCGCCATCTGCACTATCGCCGTCGCCGACTACTCCCATTCTCTGTCGTTCGACATAGTCTTTTCCTTTTGTTTGGGATCATATGGCTGGAATCAGATTCCTTGTGACCTTCGAGAGAGAACCAACAAAGATTGCCCAACATGTGTCGAGTGTTACACCCACAAGGGATGAGGCAACCCCCTTCCCCCAACAGCTTATGGTCAGGGGGGGGAGGGGGATGAGGGCAGTTGAGAATCAATCGATCTAGGGTTTACCTTCCATTGACCATTGGTAGCCGATTCCTTGGTCATTATGAAGGATAGAGAGTCAGCACTCTATTGGTCGTAGGCTTACTAGGCATTGTCTAGATTGGCTTCGTTTGAACACAAAAAGATACCCTCATTTCTGTACATATTCTCAATCCCAAGTATTCCTAAAACATTAGAGATCTGTAGCAATCACATCCCCCATCGTGGGTCTAATGTAGCATCGAGTCATTATTTTCCAGGACATCAGATGATCGAAGATGAGAGAACTAGTCAAGATGTTGAACGAGAATATACGCTCCAACATAATCTAACTCTATCAAAACGGCACAATAAAGAAGATGACAATTGTTAAGGTAAGACGATGGACTTCAACTGAAGTGATATTCCCAACGCATAGTAAGGTAGAAGAAAGACCAACTCACAACAAGAGTACCGACACAAGAATTTTACATGATTTGGAGATTGGCCTCTTACATCAATGAGTGATGACGAAAGATCCACTAGATGCAAAAAGTAGTACAAGAAAATCACTTCTCAAGAACTTGGAAAAAAAATCTCTAATCTTAACCCTTCTAAGATTCCAAAGAACAAATCCTTGATCTTGGTCTTCTAATGCACTCATCAACCCAAAAGATTTTCCTTAGAAGCTCTCTTGTAAACACTCTCTTTCTATGGTTGATTGTTTCTCCCTCGCACTCTATTTCTCCTCTCTGCATTAAATGCGAGCATTTAATATGGCACCCTCAAAAAAATTAGTTGTTCTTTACTCCTCGCACTCCATTTCTTGGAGGGCAGCTCATGAGCATCCATTGCCAGAGGTGGCATCACAAACACTCTGAAAAGAGTGATGTTCTTTACTATTAGTTGAACTTTAGATTACTGTTGTGCGACCTATAGAAAGGGCATGAGGCTCTAAGAGGGGACCCTGGCACTCTCGTTTGTGATGAATCATTCATCATTTATCTTTTGATCTCGTCGCCCCTGGTTCGGTTGGTCGAGAGGACCCTGACACTCCCAATCTGGAGTATTTTCTTTCTTTCCGTTTCATTTTTCTTCTATTCATCAACCTCGTCCCTCACTCATCCTACCATCGCCCTATTTTTCAACCCCTACCTATTTCTATACATCTCTCAAATGATATCCGTTCGTCCCTGTCGATACCTTGTCGATCTGCTGTTCGTAACTCCGCTCTTCTTCGACTCGAGATCCAGGACAAGTCAAAGCTTCTTCAGACGCTACTGGTGTCTGCGATCTTTCCACGTCACTAGTAAACCTCCTCACTTTGCGCATTTAATATATTCACTTGCTTTTGTCGCCCGAGAGACCATAGGATAGCCAGTTATCGTTCGGCTCATCCAAGATGGTGACAGGAATATCTTCTAAAATGGTAAAAAACTGGGGTATCCTATCAACAGTTTTCTTAAACTTCTTGATCCTTTTTGTCTTCAATTGCTGCTGTTTTCTTGTCAACTCCGAGAACCCTTTGATATTTTCTTTAATTTTTATGTGATTCTGCTTAATTTTATAATTTTCATTGCATCTCCGTTTTCTACTCGCATTAGGGTCAAACTGAGATCTTGGGATATTCCTAGTGATTCGTTTGGGATTGGCGTTTTCTTTCAGAGAATTTAACGAAAAGTCGCCGTAGACTAACAGCGAGTTTGCATCAGGATAGTTGCATATGAAATGGAAATTTTCTTCTTATATTTACACATATCAGACGTAGTATAATCGAACGGAAGGAGAAACAGAGATGGATCGAGAAAAGAAGAGGACCAAAGCGACGTACTCCGGCTCTCATCTGGTCCTTGACATCATGGAAACCATCGAGGAAGCGGAACCACTGGCTTCAATGCCGCTGAAGTCGATGCCAGCCGAACCCCAGGAGCCATCTTCCAGGTCGGTTTCCACAGCCACGGCCCCTTCCAGTACCTTCACCACGGTCGACATGGAAGGTCGCCTCCTGTGATCGTGCTGTAAGCACCACATAGCTAACTGCACCATCCTCATCGTTTCCTCAGCGTGCCCTTCCCCTGTGATCTCGATGCTCTTGTCGATCAGATCTCGTAGGTCGCCATTCTGTGCCTTCCTCCTCGTCACCTCAACCAACAAGGCGTCCTCTTCTGGTAAAGATCGATCCAGGTTCTTCCTCCCGGTGACGACCTCCAGGACTACCACCCCAAAGCTGTAGACGTCGGCCATCTCGGTGATCATGGAACTCAGCCACTCGGGAGCTAGGTACCCTATGGTTCCCCTCATCATCGTCTCCACGTGAGTCTGGTCCCTGTCGATTAGTTTCGCCATGCCGAAATCAGAGACCTTGGCCTCAAACCTTTCGTCAAGGAGGATGTTCTGGGGCTTGATGTCCAGGTGGACAATCCTCTGCGCGCACTCCTGGTGGAGGTAGGCGAGCGCCTTGGCTATGCCCAGGACTATCTTACGCCTGCTCTCCCAACACAGAGAAGCTCTCCTCTGGTCACTGTCGAAGATCCATCGATCTAGCGAGCTGTTGGGCATGAACTCGTAGACCAGAAGCTTGGATGATCTCTCGGCGCAGTATCCGACAAGCTTCACCAGGTTGAAGTGGTGGATTTTCCCGATGGTCTGCACCTCCGCCAGGAACTCCTTTCTTCCCTGACCAACGCCATCAAGGTGCTTCACGGCTACTGGGTTGCCGTCTACTCTTCCCGCGTAGACGGAGCCGAAGCCGCCCCGCCCGACCCTCTCGGAGAAGGCATTAGTCACAGCTCTCAATTCTTCCAGAGAAAACTTCCTCGGCATCCCCGAAATGTGTTCGAGATCATCATCAGCCTCCTCATCCTCACCTGCCATCCTTTCCTTCTCCCTCTTCAACGCAGCAGCCGTCTTCCTCATGACGAAAGCACAGAAGCTGACAACGAGCAGTAAACGCAGCCCAATAAAGCATCCCACAGAGATGACACCAGTTGCTACCCAGGATACCCCCTCGTCGGTGGGGATCTGAACCTTGATGAAGGTGGTGGAATTGTAATGGGTCACTTCGGGCCGGTTGTTCTTCATCGAAAAGACCTCGGTGGTGAGGAAGCAGCTCCCCGCGGAGGAGTTGGTCCCGTACCTGAAGAAGGCCGCCCTGCACGAACAGTTCCGCGAGCAGGCGGCGCTGCATTCCACAGGATCTATGTCGGAGATGTCGGCAGGCTTCTGGTCGTATGTGAAATAAGATACATCGTTCAGACGCAGCACACTGTGATTTTGCGGAGCTTCGCACGACAGAGGCGTCACCTCCCTGCATCCCGATCCAAGGTTCCGGTCGTCGATGGGCAGGAAAAAGTCATTTCCGCCGGCGTCCCACTGGGGACAGCTGCACTGGTTGTTGCCGGAGCAAATCGCGTACCTACCGCACACCGTCGGATAGAAACAGGAAGTCCCACGATCATTGAGGAGATCCCTTCCGGCGACCCATCCCTCTGATCTCCACTCGTACACTACGAGGCTCCCGTCCGACTCCAGCCGCAGGTACTGGGAAGGTGGAAGGTACTGGTCGGAAGTGTTCGTGAAGAGGCTTCCGTTCCTGAACTCGAAGAACCCTATCGTCGTTCCCTGGGCGCTGGTCGGCGGTGTGTAGGAAGCGTATCTCTCGGGTGGGTTGGATCCGACGAAGGCGATCAGCCCCGTGGAGTTGGCAAAGAGGAAGTAGAGGCCCTCTATGGAATTGGCGGTGGAGTCGTTGGCCGTGAGGGCCTGACCCACCTGCAGCTTCTGTCCGGGGACGAGGGAGTCGGTCGGACTGGAGAAGGAGTCCCATATGGTCTGGTTGTTGACGCCGCCGAAGAGAACCAGGTTCCCGGATTCCGTGATGTTCATGCCGGCGACGGACTTGCCGGAGGTGCCGGATGACCATACCCTGGTCCCATAGGCGTCCGTGAGGACCAGGTCTCCGTCGGAGGCCAGCTCCAGGGTCGCGTTCTCCGTAACCGGACGGGCCTTGTTGGCGGCCCACACAACCTGCGGGAACCCGCTCGCCGGGAGGACGATTTCGCCGGCGCTGTTTGAGTGGATGATGTAGATGGCGAAGATGAAGGAGGCGCAATCTCCGCGGCAGTAGAAGCCACAGGCGTAGCTGACTCCAAGCCCTGCTCTGTTCTGCCGGAGGAGGATCGGTCTCACCTGCGACCCGTCGGTGAAGGTGAAATTTCTCATAGGGGGTCTAATCAGCCAGCGGGAAACAGAGGATGGGACGGTGGCAATGGGGTTCTCGAGACCTTGGGTTCGGGTGGTGTGAGAGCAACAGAGGTGAACGACGACGACGACCGTCGCCAGCAGATGACATGTCGACGAGCACCGCCGTCGGTGGAGCTCGGCCATGGGCGGAAGGCTTTCCTCACGGGCGAATCCGGTTTAAGAAAATGGCGACTGGGTCCTTGTATACTGGTGGCATGTAAGAGACTACGGCAACGGATAACCCGGGAAAGACGCGGTCTTTTCATTTTCAGAGGCTACCGGTCGGCAAGAATGGGCCTTCTCGTTGACAAATCGACCGATCGGACTTTTACACTCGGTTTCGTGCTGCTCTCATCGCTGATCCAGTATCTTTGACATTTACTAGACAATGATGGCGAGAGGTGGACTATAATAACATGGTTGCCTTATAGAAAATTAACCCCCTCCAACACTTCAAATATAATTTTATGCTGCAAAAACAACATTTTCAAGATCATCCGCGTCCATTTAAAGTGGATCCATGTAAGCTTATGGTCCTCTTAAAACACACGTCCATACCCAAGAAAGGTACATCTAGAATTGTATGAAGATTTGATTTATGAGTTGATACTTGTACTTCACTTACCCAAGTCTGCTAGGAGTTGGAACAACATAGAGTTATGAATCTAAATGAAATTAATTGGGCACTATTATAGTCTAACTGATGTGAAATTAGAAGAAATTATCTTGTCACAAATCTGATTCACCAGACCTAGAGGGGTGAACCTAGTAGAGATTAGTTGGGAACTCATCTAGTTTGGCCAACCTAGAACATTGAATGTACACAAGAGTGTACTAAATTTGGTATGCTCAACCACTATGGATCTTGATTCCTACGTTTAGTAAATTAGAAAGAAACTCTTGGTTATATAAAAAAACATATTTTTTACATACAAGGGGTAAATGTTATCATATTGCTAAGAGATTCTAGGTTATATAACTGCATTATAATATCATTATATGCTTATATTGTGAGTAGGTTATCACAAGTAATAAAACTCTTATTCTCAAGTGACTAGACTTCCTTTATATTACCATGGACACTATGAGCACTAAGACTTGCATAGTGAGTCAACTCACATGTTTGTTTGCCAAAATCAGTTGATGAAAACAGTGTAGCATTCTTGTACGTTGGTGATGTGAGCAGCATGAAGAGCTTGATGTTTACCTTGGAATCTTTACGTAACCAACCTCATTTTGATCTATAAGACTTCTCCCACAAGTAAGCCTTCGCTCTTTAACCATTTTCTGAATTTACTGAATCTGCAATGTTTAAAATTGTCGCTCAAAAATCCTCCCTATTCCAATCTTTAAACTTTATAATATTTGAATCTGCTTATTCCCACGGCCGTTTCCATTCAAATTTAAACTGAAGTTTCCTAACTTGTTAGAGAATAATTGCCCTTGAATCTAGATCATAAAATTTACTATGATTTTTTGTGCACATTAGTAGATATGTCACCATTGAGATGTTACTTCGTTCAGACGCAGCAAGCTGTGATTTTGCGAGCCTGTGAACGATAGAGGCGTTACCTCCCTGCACCCTGACCCAAGGTTCCGGTCGTCGATCGGCACGAAGTAGTTGCCCCCGCCAGCTTCGCTTTTGAGGCATCTGTACAGGTTTTTGCCGGAGCGAATCTTGCACCTCCCGCATACAGTCGGAGAGAACAGGAATAATCAAGATCATTGAGGAGATCACTTAAGGCGACCCATCCTACTGATCTCCACTCATACACTCTGAGGCTCCCGTCCGACTCCAGCCGCAGGAAATGGGCAGGGGGAAGGTACTGGTCTGAGGTGTTTGTGAAGAGCCTTCCGTTCCTGAACTCGAAGAACCCTATCGTCGTCCCCTCCGAACTGGTCGGCGCGGTGTAGGAAGCGTACCTCTCGGGTGGGTTGGATCTGACGAAGGCGATCATCCCCGTGGAGTTGGCACAGAAGAAGTAGAGGCCCTCCGTTGAATTGTTGGCGGAGGCGTTGGCCGTGGGGACCTGACGCACCTGCAGCTTCTGCCCGGGGGCGAGGGAGTCGGTCGGACTGGAAGAGTCCCATATGGTTGTTGACCCCGCCGAAGAGCACCAGGCTCCCGGATTCCGCGATGTTCATGCCGGTGACGGACTTTGCGGAGGTCCCGGATGACCAGACCGTGGTCCCGTCGGCATCCGTGATGACCAGGTTTCCGTTGGATTTGAGCTCCAGCGTCGCGTTCTCCTTAACCCGACGGGCCCTGTTGACTGCCCAAACCACCTGCAGGAACCCGGTTGTCGTGTAGGCGATCCTGCCGGCGCTGTCAGTGTCGACGATGTAGACGGTGAAGAGGAAGGAGGTGCAATCCCCTCGGCAGTAGGAGCCACAGGCGTAGGTAATTCCGTACCCTTCTCTGCTCAGTCGGAGGATCTGCCTCATCTGCGATCCGTCCGCTGAAGGAGATGTTTATCATGGGGGCTGTGATCGGCCACCTGGTGGGAACGGCGGCAGTGGGAATGACGAGCTCCTGGGGTTGGGCAGTTTGTACGTATGAACAGAGGAGATGGAGGAGGATAGTGGTCACCAGCAGATGACATGTCAGCGAGCACCGCCGGCAGTGGAGCTCGGCAATAGGGAAGGCATCTGCACGGTCGAATTCGGCGGAAGAAAACGACGCTAAAGTAAGACCGGAAAAGGAAAACAGGGTGGGCTGGAGTCTCCGCCCGGAGGAAGAAGAATCGGGGTTCCTCTGTTTTTTTTTCCTCGTCAAGACGACCTGTCCCACATCCCGTTCTTGGCCTCGCCGAGCATATTCAGCAGTTGTGAGAGCAGAAACTGTCCTGAACATAAAACAAGATGGAAACCGCAAGAGAGAGTGGGAGAGAAAAACAGAGACTTATCGGTTGGAGAGCCTACTTCTGGGTAGAAGTCCTTCCTCTGGGGAAGAGAATAGATGTATAAATTCTGAACGCGGGGGGCTGCAGACAATATCTTCCTTGAAGCCCAAAACACCAGAAACCCAAAGAAGTACTATATTTGGACTTAACTCTGGTCTACCCATTTCGATCCGTCATTTGTATCCAAATTCTAGTTCCTCTCGTATCCTCATTGAACCTACATGTAGAAAGATTCATGAATCTGTAAAGTTTGAAAAATAACAACCCGCCTCCTTATTTCCACTCATATCCTACTCCTTAAACTTGTATAAAAAAAATCTTATGTATCAGAGGAAGAAACAGACATCAAATGTCCACTCAAATCTCATATCGATCCACAACTCATCTACACAAGAAAAAACAACTATATCATGATATGTTTGAAGTTGTAATGGTATAATTGCCGATTTTTAATTATATTTAATTTTTTAAAATTCTTAAATGTATCATAATTTATTTAGATTGCAACCTTAGTTACCAAAATGGTAATGATAACATACTATTTATGCATGTAATTATATAATTATTAATGCAAATTAATGCATTAATCATTACAAATATATGCATGTTATCATATTTTAAGTATATTTCTATCATTTTGTGTAACTTCATGTTATGATCTTAAAATACACCAAATTATAGATTATTATAAATAATTACACATTACAATCTTTAATCCTAATTATATTTATGATCATAATCATGTTTTAAGAGTGAAAATATGAGAGAAAATATATTTATTAACATTTATGTATTTATATAAATTTATTTTATAATACATACATGTATAAAATTAATTAAAATTTATTCTCTTCTTATTTTAATAATTTGACCTTTTATAATGATAGATTATTCAATTTTGAATAAAAAAAATTTGAATTAATTTGGAGTTGTATTTTGAAAGTTATGATTTTTACAATTTTATAGAATTTCTGGAATTTTTCTGAATTTATTTATATTTATTTTCGATTTTTAAATGTTTTAAATTAATTAAAAAATCGCAAAAAGGGGTTATATGTCGCGCGTGTACACGTGGATCTAAAGTCCTTTGTTTTTCCCGTGTGGGACTAAAGTCCCTTAGTTTTTTTTTTATGTGCAGGACGCGTGGCGTGATCTCGTGCGTCCGATCGACATCGCGATAAATAGCGTGCGTAGATCACGTGGAATCGAGGCCCACGCGATCAGAGATCAACCACGTGCCTAAATACTCACTTAAGTGAATAAATTACGACCGTCTGATCGAGAGTTATAACGGTCCAGATTACTCACATCAGATGGACATCCAATCACATCTTAACCGCACGATCACGATCGGACGATCGTCGAATCGTCGCGACGATTCGAGAAGAGGCGTCTCATCGCGATCGTCCATCGCGATCAACTCCATCAGATCGGACAGCCACGATCATTTACGAATTTTATAAAATCCGTTCTTCGCGACGGAAGAACGGCCGCGATCAATCTTCAATTTCTCCTTGTTTAGAGCTCCAATTCGCGCGCCATCTTTTTCATTGTGTTCGCAACTCATTTCCGCTTCTGTTGGATTTTTAATTTCAATGTTTTATTGAAAGAATTGGAAGAAATCAAGTCTTGAACTCCTCTTTCGTCTTCGAAAATTCGGAATGAAAAGCCTTGCATCCGGCGATTAATTGGATCATTTCGAAGGCTAATTTGGGTTAGATTGTTTTTTTTCATCTTAATCTTTCATCATTTACTATTAATTTTACTTTAAGTATTGTAGATTAAGTTTAATTTAGTTTTAATTTCTGTTTTTAATCATTTCGCGATACGAAAATTTCTCTTAACTTCAAACTTTGATTACTCTTCGAATTCTCATCCAAATCACCTGATTTTTGATTCCATGGATTTGAAATTGAGTTATCTTTCTTAATGTACTAAATTTTCCAATTTCTAACCTAATTTCATCGTCTGATTTGACCGAATTTCAAAGATATCTCTCAAATTTCCCTAATTCTCCGTGGATTCGTCCCTTAATTACCATTATACTAATTAATTACTTTGATTAATCATAAATTAGTAAGATTAGGACTTTGTTTTGACACTGAATCGTGTGCATTCAACGACCATACGATTTAGTCTCGTCAGGTAACCATTTTTTTGTACTCTTACTTTCTATATATATACTTTTTCCAGCTCATTAGTTGTTGTTAGTTCTAGCTCCTCCCGTATTATTTTTCCAAGGCTTTTGCATTATCAACACCCACTAACCTTGTTCATGTTTATTCATTTAACGAGCAATTAGCCATGTTACTTACTTATATGATGGTGCCTTCTTGAAATTCAAATTAACTTATGCTATGAATAAAGAAGACTTTGTTCTCAACAATCTCTTTCCCTGTATGACGATTAAAACTTCTTTCACATGCCACGAAGGGGAAATAGAATATCAACCGAGACACTATTGAATAATACCACTTTTATTTCATTCTACTCAAGCATCTCATCTGGATTGAGCAAATCCCCTTCTATGAGTTGTAAAGTTGTCACCAGATAAGGAGAAATATCCTGAAAACTTTTGATATATACAACACCAAACAGAACTCGGAAAACTCCAGGGAATCAAAAGGAGAACCAATACTGCGTTCTTCCTTCCTCCGTTACTTCTTTTCTCCTTTTCCTTTTCTGCCCGTCCAAGAGGCTCATCGAGGTTGATCCAGCCCATCAATAGTGCGTTCATGTCGATTGACGCTCTCCGTCGGTTCATCTTCCACGGGGACCGACGATACCAGGACTTGTCTGAGTTGGGTGACTGGGTGCGACATCTTCATGGTTCTCTCCCCATAAAAAATGCGCGCAGAGGATCGCATACCGGGGCATCGAGCCTTCAGCCATCCTTCTCAACGAAAGGTCCGAAGCCAGGGTCCGATTTCCGGCTGGTGGAGAGTTGTCTTGCTCAAACTGGCCGTCGGGGTTAAAAATAAGATCTAAGGAGGATCCTGGTACTGTCTACGGCTGGCCTCGCTGGTGATTTTTTAATCAGCGGCCGTGGGCATGCATGCAGAAGGATCGCCGATGAATGTAAATATCTGCTCGATATCTATGCACCTCACATGAAATGCGTGAGAATAGTTGGAGAAACTGAAAAGGATTCAGAAAAGACGGACACGAAACCAGCGTAGCTCAGGCGCTCCGTCTATCGGGGTCCTGAGAGCACAGATGCCAACAATGGAGCGGAACCACTGGCTTCGTTGCTACTCAAGTAAATGGCAGGTGAACTCCAGGAGCCATCTTCCAGCTCAGTTTCTACAGCCACGGCCCCTTCCAGTACCTTCACCACCGTCGACATGGAAGGTCGCCTCTTGTGGTCATGTTGTAAGCACCACAGGCCCAGCTGCAGCATCCTCGTCGCTTCTTCAATAGTATCTTCGAGTCCCTCTAGGCTCCTGTCTATCAGATCTCGTAGTTCTCCGCCCCGCGCCTTCCTCCTCGTCACTTCAACCAACAAGGCGTCATCTTCCGGTAAAGACCGATCCAGGTTCTTCCTACCGGTGACGACCTCCAGGACCACCACCCCAAAGCTGTAGACGTCGGCCATCTCGGTGATCATCGAGCTCAGCCACTCGGGAGCTAGGTACCCGACGGTTCCCCTCATCCTCGTCTCGACCTGAGTCTTGTCCCTGTCGATCAGCTTTGCAAGCCCAAAATCAGAGACCTTGGCCTCGAACCTTTCGTCCAGGAGGATGTTCTGGGGCTTGATGTCCAGGTGGGCGATCTTCTGAGCGCACTCCTCGTGGAGGTAGGTGAGCGCCCTGGCTATGCCCAGGACGATCTTGCGCCTCTTCTGCCAATCCAGAGCACTCTCTTTCCGGTCTTTGGGGAAGATCCATCGATCCAGTGAGCTGTTGGGCATGAACTCGTAGACCAGAAGCTTAGATGATTTCTCGGCGCAGTATCCGACAAGCTTCACCAGGTTGAAGTGGTGGATTTTGCCGATGGTCTGTACCTCCGCCATGAATTGCTTCCTCCCCTCGGCCACGCCGTCGAGGCGCTTCACCGCCACCATCTGGCCGTCCATCTTCCCCTCGAACACTGATCCGAAGCCACCCTGGCCGAGCTTCTTGGAGAACCCCTCAGTCGCTGCTTGCAGTTCTTCCAGAGAAAACCTCCTCGGCATCCCCGAGACGTGTTCAAGATCATCATCAGCCTCCTCTTCAGGGTCCCTCGACGCAGCGGCCCTGTTCCTCGCGATGAAAATTCCGCAGCCGACAACGACGAGAAGCGCGGAAGCGGCACCTAAGGTGGCCCCGATGATCACCCCTTTGTTGGCGGTCGTACCATTCCCCATCGTCAAGGAGACGTTTGTGACGGGGATCTGAACCTTGATGAAGGCGGTGGAATTGTAATGGGCCACTTCGGGCTGGTGGTTCTTCAACGATAAGACCTCAGAGGTCAGGAAGCAGTTCCCTGCGGAAGCGTTGGTCCCGTACCTGAAGAAGGCCGCCCTGCACGAACAGTTCCGCGAGCAGGCGGCGCTGCATTCCACAGGATCTATGTCGGAGATGTCGGCAGGCTTCTGGTCGTATGTGAAATAAGATACATCGTTCAGACGCAGCACACTGTGATTTTGCGGAGCTTCGCACGACAGAGGCGTCACCTCCCTGCATCCCGATCCAAGGTTCCGGTCGTCGATGGGCAGGAAAAAGTCATTTCCGCCGGCGTCCCACTGGGGACAGCTGCACTGGTTGTTGCCGGAGCAAATCGCGTACCTACCGCACACCGTCGGATAGAAACAGGAAGTCCCACGATCATTGAGGAGATCCCTTCCGGCGACCCATCCCTCTGATCTCCACTCGTACACTACGAGGCTCCCGTCCGACTCCAGCCGCAGGTACTGGGAAGGTGGAAGGTACTGGTCGGAAGTGTTCGTGAAGAGGCTTCCGTTCCTGAACTCGAAGAACCCTATCGTCGTTCCCTGGGCGCTGGTCGGCGGTGTGTAGGAAGCGTATCTCTCGGGTGGGTTGGATCCGACGAAGGCGATCAGCCCCGTGGAGTTGGCAAAGAGGAAGTAGAGGCCCTCTGTGAAATTGGCGGCGGAGTCGTTGGCCGTGAGGGCCTGACCCACCTGCAGCTTCTGTCCGGGGACGAGGGAGTCGGTCGGACTGGAGAAGGAGTCCCATATGGTCTGGTTGTTGACGCCGCCGAAGAGAACCAGGTTCCCGGATTCCGTGATGTTCATGCCGGCGACGGACTTGCCGGAGGTGCCGGATGACCAAACCTTGGTCCCGTTGGCGTCCGTGAGGACCAGATCTCCATCGGAGGCCAGCTCCAGCGTCGCGTTCTGAGTAACCGGACGGGCCCTATTGGCGGCCCACACAACCTGCGGGAACCCGCTCGCCGGGAGGACGATCCCGCCGCCGCTGTTGGAGTGGACGATGTAGATGGCGAAGAGGAAGGAGGCGCAATCCCCTCGGCAGTAGAAGCCACAGGCGTAGGTGATTCCGAACCCTTGCCTATTCCGCCGGAGGAGGATCGGCCTCACCTGCGACCCGTCGTTGAAGGTGAAATTTCTCATGGGGGTTGTGATCGGCCACCTGGTGGGTACGGCGGCAGTAGGGTTGTCGAGCACCTGGGCTTGTGCAGTTCGTACAAAAGAACAGAGGAGATGGAAGAGGATGGCAGTGGCCGGCAGAGGACATGCCGGCGAGCACCGCCGGCGATGGAGCTCTTCCATGGAGGGGGAGGCTTCCTCACGGTGGAACCCGGCGGAAGAAAGCGGCCCCAAAATAAGACCGGGGAGGGAAGACACGTTGTGCAGGAAGAAGAGTCGGGGTGAAGGGAACACCGAAGCCAGCTAGCTGTTCACACTGAGGAGGAGGCTTTGACTTCCAATATCTTACTGATTGGGTCACCAAAGGCGACTGCTGGGGAAGGTGAGTAGGTGGAAAATAGAGACTGATCCGGTCGGGTTACTCCTACCATTAGCGCGTGCTACTGGAATTTATAAAAAAGGGTCAACGCATAAAGAACTGCGGGCGGCCCTCATTTTCTCTCGATACAAAGAAAGGAGCTGCACAGGCAGGGAATAAAGCCGGAGGAGCATTTCCTCGCCTCCTGATAGCAGCGTCGAAGCGTGCATGCATGCAAAAGCATGCGATGATGGGCTTCATGAGAACACGAACATAGACTTGTCGGACGATACCATCCTCTTCCCAGCCGCCGTCCCTACGATCCTCTCGAGCTGGAGACAAGGGGGTGGAGTGAGTCAACTCTCCTTTTCTCTTTTTATTTTTTATTTTTATTTTTTTTTGTTTTAACATGGTCAATAATATGGGGAACGGTGGGGCATTAGCTTCTTCTTTTTTTCTTGATCTGATAGAGATAGAATGCAACAAGAACAGAAACTGATGGGAGGTGATCCAACAAGAACAGGGGCAGCAGCAGCAGCAGCCAAGCAGCTTACCCGCAGAAGATCGAAGCGGGAGAAGAGCACATTGCACATCGCGTTTTTGGCCTCGCCGAGCATGTTCAGCAGCTGCGAGAGCAGAAACCCTCATCAACATGAAACAAGATGAAACCCGCAAGGCAGAGAGAGAGAGAGAGAGAGAGAGAGAGAGAGAGAGAGAGAGAGAGGGCCTACTTCTGGGTAGAAGTCTTTCCTCTCGGGAAGAGAATAGACGCACAAATTCTGGATCCCGCGAATCTGCAGTCGAAGAAGATGAGTCTTATATACCAACAAGCCTAACAAAACCAGAGCAAAACCCACAACCAACTGGTCCTGGTTCTGAATGGAGGGAGGGGCTGCAAAGAGCGCCTTCCTTGAAGCCAAAAAACACTAGAAAATCTGTGCATGTTTATCTCATTCTCACCCGAAAACTAACCAAGTACTAGATTTTATCTTACTCTAGAACACGGGGGGACACAGGCACTGACTATGCATGTAAGAGCATACATAACACTATGGAACTGAAGAGAAAAAAGTCCAGCAGACCTTGTATCTATGATAGAAATGAGCCCTTTCTGTGTACAGCATAATTTTCCGAGTTCCTTGGAAGAACCAAACTCTTGCGCGGGATATATCGCTTTGTTTTGTATATCTAGAGAGAGAGAGAATAGAAACAGGACAGAGGAAAGTTGAGTCCAGAGGTCATCTTCTATCCATCCATGATGCTGAAACTGTTCTGTGATTAAAACTAAAATACTGATATAAACTCTCAGATGGCCGACTTACTCCCCGAGCAAACAGAATGAAGCATCCTGTGATTTCAAAAAGTTCCGAACCCTCACAAAATCCAGATAAGAACTAATGAACAGCATTATCCCACCCTGCAGAAAGAATAAAGTCTCCACTATTAGAAACACATATAACATCAAGTTTCTAAGACATGAAGATGCGCAGCCTGTACAAAAACCTTTAGAACAACAGCTGGATTGAAGGGGGGGAGAGAGAGAGAGATGCGAGCTTCATTGACATTTCAGGTGTAACATATTAGACGTGCTGTTTTAGAACAATACCTGAATTGAATCCTTTATCTTTGGGTACACCTGCACAAGGGAAAACCGTTATAGTAAGGATTCAATGCGTGCCCAGGACTGACAGTCAAATAGAATATTATTATGATTAATATGTTAAAGAATTCGTTCTTAACAAGGGCGATGATGCAACAGCATTGAAATCAATTGATCCTTAATTTGATGGGTTATCCCAAAGGGTATTAGTTAAAGAGTTTAAAGTATGCATCCCATGTTTAGAAAGCCCACAACACATTCCTGTGAGTACAGTAACTGTGAGAGGGAGATGTTTCTACGGACCTTCTTAACAAAATAATCAAAACGCGCATCATCAATGACGTCAATGGAACTCGCATTGAAGCGTTCATAAACCTACAAGTTAATCCATACATGGTCGCATAAACAATGTCAGCGGTAGTCAACAAAAAATAACGTAACTTATGATAAAATGAAATGGTGAAACGGAAGACAATCTGTAGACAAGGAACTTGAGATGGTAATTACAAAAAAAAAAAAAAAAGATTTTCAAGAACAATCAAAATACTGTTTGTATGAAAGGCTTTAAAACTGGTGAATGACGATGCGTATCTATTGAACGAGGAACGTGAATATACACCTTTGCTATTCGTATTAACAATTTCACTGCAAATTCTTATTTTTGGCCTTGAAAAAACAGATGGCTGACAATTTCTAGTGTCAAATTGTCATAAACATATAAACTTCAGGTTTCTAGAGTTTTGTTCTGCTGCCAGTTTGAAGCAAAGAAAACAGCAAGCTTTATTCACCTGTTTCACCGGGAGCAATATTTTTGGAAGAACCCCCTTGTGATGATACATCATCTTGACCTAAGAAAATGCAGAATCAATGAATCTGTACAAAAAGGAGAATTATCTAAATTGAATGGCATACCTTTCCCTCATGGTTAAAACAATGATGATTAAACAGTGAATTCATATCTGTGAAAAGAGACCATAAATAAATATCAGTTTACATGCACATTGAAGGCATGTTCACTACCATGGATTTAAGGATATCCAAGTCCAGCAACACAAATAAATATCATGCTTTCAGAAGATGTATGGATAAAGATTTCTGGAAAAAGGCCAAGATTCGAAAACCCTAGCGAGTTTTCTACCATTCCCAACTGCATAATAGTTTGAGAAGCCAAAAGACAGCAACCACAACAATCAGGAACAAAACAATGAATAAAAGCCAACAGTCTGATATACATTCAACAAACAAATCAAAGAAACATACCTGGGTTAAGGAAATCACTCAGTAATATAGTTTGCCGGTAAAAGCGTGATTGCCCTTCTAGATACCTAATCATGACAAAACAGATATCTCTAGATCATTCACGCATCAAAACTGAGCGCCTAACGGCCTAATAGTAGGAACAAAAATGACGTGCCATTTGCCGAAAGGAGGTATAAAAAATACTTCTAATACTATTCTGGATATCGTGCACCTTTGACGTAAGCAGAAAAACATCTCATGAAATAATATTCTATTGAATAATTCTGTTACCAAGGACTTACCACTGTCTCACACGCATAAAGTCTGTTCTGTGTTGCTTCGATGGTAAATGGTTCAGTTGCTCAATAACAGTAGTTAAATGGGACCAATTCTGCACGTTATGATGAACAGTGGAGGAATGTTAACAAGAAAATAATAAGAAAAAGAAGGGTATAATCACCAATAGTGACAGACCTGCATTGCAATCACATCAGCATGATCAATTATCAACACCTGTATGTGAAAACAAATAAACCCATGACCATCTTCATGAATGGATTTGTTTTTTCTGGGCGAGCGGCACAACTATATATATTGAAAGAATAGAGAGCAAAATAATCTACTGAACTCAAACAAGCATTGAGAGCGCTCTGAACCTCGATTGAAGATAAATAATCGACATCCTTCTCCTTGTCTATTGTAGTCTCTGCAATTTTCTGAAAAAATTGATAAATTAATTAGAGTATGGAATGACAGCTCTGGATAATAAATAGCGACAAACATATAAAAGATAGATAATTAAAAAGTATCCTTTTAACGTTATAGTCATAATAACTCCATCAAATACAAAGATTTCCAGCAAAAATAGCAAAGCCAAAGCTTTATGCTCATGAAATACATGGTAGATGTGTAGTTCCTGGATCCTCACAGCTGGAATCTATAATTAACGACATTATTTGAGCTTAAAAACTATATCTCATGTTCGTTTAAAATAAAAATTATAAATATCAATGCATATTGATATCAGTTTTATACTAAATGACTCATAAACATTCCTATAAGAGCTATAAGGGCTTTATACAATCTTATCATATTTTTCCACCAAGTAAATCGAACAGGACAATTCGAATCTCCATGAACTGATTCCAATAAGAATCAGTATATCCTACCAACTATGATCCTTAGCAGAAACATTAATTCTACACTTAAAATATTTTTGTCACAACTCGTGAATTACAAATGTAGAAAGATTGATAAAAAAAATTAAGAACATACCACCTTTTTCCTCTAACTGCAGCACAATTCTATTGTTACTAAATTGAAACAATGAATAAAGTGAGCAAACTTTTCAGAATCGGTCAGGAAAAGATAAATTAGGCATTCCTCAATAGTCCCATCAAGGACAAAGACAAAATATATCAACCCCATTGACAATTGTAGTCACGTTTCTACAATAAGACCATCAACCAAAGGTCATTAACTCCTTTCTTCCCAGGAAAGAACTGAAGCGCATTTTCTTGGCTTGATATCAGGGGATTAAGTGCCTATCAGAGCTGCTAGGCAAGTTATCGAATAGAAAAATGTGCAGTACGTCCGTATGAAAGAGGAGAATTTGCACTGTATTGCATACACTAAGATGGAAATAAGATAATCAAACTCATTGAATAAAAGATTTGTGATAACTTTCCTTTCAAAAAAAAATAATCAAATTGAGGAAAATGACATATGTGAAAAAAAGCTGAATTTAGCATTCTCAATTAATTATACTAGAAAACAATAACCTTGATGCTGATTTCAACAGAATAACTTACCTTACTCAATCCTAGGGGAGATGCAACAATCATGTCACTTGAGTAGAAATCACCATACAACTTAATACTTCTCCTACAAAAGAAAAAAAATTTAAGCAAGAGTCAGGAACCTGTTCCCTGAGCAATTTTTACTACTCGATCACTGTTTATCAGTCATAACAAAACAGGAAGAGGTCTTCCTTTAACCATCAAACTTCAAGGTAAGTCTGAGCTCCTAGTGAGAGAGAGGGTGACTTTGGCAAAGTATCCTACACATGTAAAATGAGACGGCTGAACTCATACATTCTACAAGACCCAAGACATCTAAACTAGGAGGCCATTACAACAGTCCCAAATGAAAAGGAATGACTCCTAAAAGCTTGATTCTGAATGCATCAAATGAATTCCACAACTTTAAGGTGAAAAAAACCTAACTACAAACCTTGTTGTAATGTGTGATTGATACCACAAAGTTAAGAGAAAGCTGAGGTTGGAAAATACCACATGTTTAGTCCATAGGATCACCCACTCAATTCGAAGAAAAAATTCTGGTTCTCAGTCGATATGGGCACCTACTCATTTACTTGCATCTCTACATCATTAGATAACTATTATTATGATGAGTTTTTATGCAAAAAACAACGTTATTTTCTTTTCTTTCTTTCACTTGTAATACAATTTATCAAAATCAGCGTGGAATTTGCCATGCATAGGAGAATAAAATACTCCGGCATTTGCCATGCATAGGAATACATATAAGAGCACTACATGTCACAGATTCATGCAAAACAACTACACTTTTGGCAAGCATAGAAATTGAGATGTTCTTACACCACTGGAATCTAAAAGGTCATTAGATATAAAAAGAAAAAATGAACAGGCAACATTGCTCCAATAAATTGAAATATTGACTAGAGTATGAAATAAAATAACTAAAAAAAAGTAATGATCACTCGTACATGAAATAACATAGAAAAAGAGAGCAACTACCTAGTGAACTTGATGCCCATCATAAAGCAGTCATCGTTGTTCCCACCAAAAAGAACTTGGTGATCTTCAGGCTTTGCAGATTGTCTAGATTTTGAATCTTCAGCTCCATGACCATCAGCCAGGACCATGTCATCAACATCTTCATCTTTGCCGTCATCAGTTCCAAACTCATCATAAAATCGACTGAGATGTTCCACATTTCCCTGAAATACAAACATAGTCATAAGCAGTCAAAGACTGCACCATTGCAAAGATGCTCATCGACTGAGGAAATATTCTGATGATAATATCGTGACAGAAGTAATGGGGACAACCAACCATAGCAATGATTATGATTTGATACTTGTTCTTTACAAACTCAAGTCTTCTTAGAGTCATAAAATCTAAAAAATATAAGTTTGGCGCAAATCTAGGTCGGCTGACATAGAGATATGAATCTAAAAGAAATTACTTGGGCAATAATAGAGTTTGACTGGTGTGAAATTATGAATCTGAAATAGATTATCTGGTCGCTAATCTGATTAGGGCAACCTAGAGGCATGAACCTAGAAGAGATTAGTTAGGCAATAATCCAGTTTGGTCAGCCTAGAGCCATCAATCTAGAAGAGAGAGTAGTTAGTTCAGTATCCTCAACTACCATGAATCTCAATTCCTGCCTTTGGTGAACTAGAAAGTAAACAGAAAACATTGTAATCCAATCAAGGCAAAACTAACTAGTTAAAATGTCCCTTCAATATCCCAAAAATTTAGTTTTATATCACAGCAGCCAACATCAATCTGGATCTTAACCAAAAATATAACTATCACTGTAGCGCAATTTATACTATGATTCAAGACAAATTCATATGGCATAATCTCATAGGATGATACGCATCATAGGATTAAAGGACAGTAGACATCTAACAAAATATTCAGTTGAAAGTAAATGATAAATTCATCTGTCATAATCTGACAAAAATCCTACACTACTTTCCACATCTGATGAGTAGAAACCCCAGAAACGTGCGTGTTTTATCTTTAAAGCCCACATCTACAGAGACGCAAAAGAAAATGACAAGTTATAAAACATGCCTTTAAAATCAAGAAATCATAATAGTGATTACGAAGACATCAATGCAAATTGAAATGGAAATGGGGAAGGTGACTCAGAATGAAAATACAACAAACAGTACCTTTTTAGATAAAGGGGCGAGATGTATAAGTCTCCTCACTAGCCTTAATCCAAAGCTTCGATATGGCAACAGGAACAACACCTGTGGGAGAGTAGGTATACAGAATATCGAAATAAGGGTATGAAAAAACCTCTATCAGAAGAAATCTGAAGAAAAAGCGCCATTAGCACATTTATAAATATGATACACTATGAATTAGTATACTCCAAGGCTATGTCCAGGCAGAGAAGAATTATGACGCATACCTCTAGCAGCTAATTACACCACTCACTCTTCTCATACATCTTCTTGCAGTAAAACCCAGTCGAAAACTTAGAAACGTGCTATTATTATATTTACTAAAAGCTCTTTTACTATTTTTTCATATCTTTCAAGACTCTGACCTCGTCCCTTTCAACATAGATCATTAGATCAGCTTGGCTGATTCAATTCTTCAAGCCCTAATTTCCACCATGTAAGACAATAAGGTATGAAAATCTATGCTTGTAAAGAAGAGAAAGCTAGAAAGAGGAAAAAGCAGTACACAAATGAATTGATAATTAAACCCAGCTACAAGACACCCGAAACTCATGTGAAAATGAAGGTGACAATCTTACTATCAGGGTCCTCCATTAGCTTATCAAACTAATGCTAGATTTTAAATAAAACCTCTGAAAATTACCTTTGGCCGAGTAAACCCTTGATCACGAAAATCGTTGCCATTAAGTAGCTCTTCCTTTGCGGTATCTTGATCCTTTGCCAGCTTTGCATCATTTTTAATCACAAGATCTCTTGTTCTGAAAACATGATTTATCTACAGAGAAAACATTCCACGTAATTATTTACACAGAGCATTAAGTATATCAATCATAAGAAACAACTAAACAGAAAAAACCTTGATAAACTTTACCTAAAACAACAATCCGAAACAAGGATAATGAATGGACAACAATGAAGAAAGATCTGAACTTACAGCATGCATAATATATGAATCCATGATATCAGAATCCTCCTGTGTGCCTTTGAAATAGAAGGGCTTTTTGCTACAATGCATTATATCCCGATAGCTATTACCTAAAATATTTCACAAGAAAGATATTAAATTATGACAGAATAAATCACCAATTACCAGCCAAAATCACAAGATTATCAACAATGAGGAACGTACGGGCAACAATCATGACTCCTCTCATTGATGGATATACTAGACTGACATAGAAGAGGTAAAGAATCTCACAGAGAAAAATGATTAAAGAATTGCTCAAAATTGTTTGTATCCTGGAGTCAGACCTAAGCTGTGTACAACAAAAGTATGATGGACAGAAGTTGAGATAATAGAGAAAGGAACCACAAAAACACACCAGTGATGTACATATGAAGAGAAAAATCTCTTTACAAGTCCATCTCAATAATGTAAGCCAAATATTAAGGCTGAAGCATGATAAGCCTCCAGCCAAGAAATACTCAAGAAGGAAGTAGCTTCCAGTTTCTATGGGTTCAACCACTGCGCATGGAACTTAGTAGGCATCCATGTAGGAAGGAGACGGCTGAGGGTTATAAATAAGGGGACTCAGTTGTATAGGAGGGTTAGAAAGGACCATTTGGTCCCAAAGTCTCTGGAGATCCTCTGCTTGTTGTGTTTGAGCCGATTTGGTCTCCACGACTGAACCCTTCTTCTCCTAATCCTTATTTCCCGTATCCCTCGAAAAGAATCATATTCTTTTCTGGATCAAGGTTCTTACCAAAGCATTAGAAACAAAAGAAGGCATGCCACAAAAATATGCCAGCATCCAGACCAAACATCGCATCCCTTAAACAACACCATAGCAGTCTTCAGAAGACGTGAGAAAGGGCAAATTAAAAAAAGAAAGACCATTCAACCATTCAAAGAAGTTAGGAATAACTACCATAGCTTTCAATAGAAAAAAAAATGAATATTACACAGGCATTTCATGAGAATGTAAAAAATATTTGAAGACGGATGAATATACAGAAGATGGTGCCATTAGGACACTTACAGAGTGAGAAGAATTGTCTTTGCCTGGATGAATGAAAATCGTTGCCCCCAAAAGCTTTATATTCTTTTAACCAATGATTGTACAATTTTGGCAGAAGCCCATATCGCTTATCACTATCCACGTCCTGAAAACAAAATTGGGCATCAGATATGTAACTGAAATCTAGATTTAACCTTCTAAACTCAGCTTACTAAGAAAAGAACCAAAATTCAAGAACATCGCAAATAAGAATGAAAGAAATATTTTTGCTACTGCATTACATCTGCCTTCAGAATCCATAGTCAATGTTGAAGAATATTGTAACCACTTGTAATTTAAGTACCTTCAAAAAACATTCTCCTGTTCCAACCCACTTGGACAATGCCGAATCAATTACAGGCATCTCCCACTTAAACTTCCACGACTTCTTCATCAACTCATCAACCTCTTCGCTTTTCAGTGTGACTCCAAAATGATCATGGGAAGTGCTGAATAAAGTTAACAAAGGACATAAGATAAGGAAGAAACAACGAAGCCCACATAAGATGGCGGTTAGTTAAGTCGTAATCGTCTTATCGTATCATCTTTAACTTTTGAAAAGGTTGGGACGAAGACCTGCATTAGGATACTTTGAGCAATATCTTTAGACACCTCAGACTGAACCTAAATTCCTCGTTTGTTGGAACTATAAATCCCAGTTAGCAGACAGGATACTTGCCGATGTAAATTCGTTATGACTAACCAAACCTCACACTGCTTTACTACAAAAAAGAATGGACTCTAATTCGCTACAAAAAAATACTTTCAACAAGCGACCACAAAAGAATGGACATTAAACGACATTTATCTCCTGTAATTATTAAGCTCAATACCTTGTGATCCTAAACTAATTATGATTTTCCCTTTGGAAAGCAAGATGAGCGACCCATTCAAGTAAAGTTGACCGACCTTTCACCATCTGATTCATCAGAAGTATCTCCATCATCACTTTCCTCACTCTCTTCGTGGTCACTATTAGAGAATTTATCATTAAAAGTTTCATCATCTCCTTCATGTTCCACAACAGACTTATGCTTTCTTTTGAGGGGATACCGAGAGTCTTGGCCAGACTCATTGTCTGATTCTGGAAGATATTCAGAAAAGATTAAGAAAAATATAAAGTAGATGTCAGAGTATGCACAACTGGAGTTTGTGACGTGCATTATTCGTACAAAGATGAAAGAGTATCAAAGTACTCGTACTGAAAAAATTTAAGGTAAAACCTTGTTCGTTGACTTCCATAATAATGTCAAAAGACTCAGCTAAACTGATGTTTCGGTCAGTGGATAAAATAATATATGATAATAACTAGTAAAACGAGTAACAAGAGGAAGCAAAAAACTCAGGAGCCCGTAACATGATCCGAGCTAGAAGATAATATAACAGTAGATTACGAAATCTTTTGAATAAAGGTGATCAACTGAATAACATTTCAATGCAATGAAAAAGGGTGAACTAACGAGTAAAACGAAAAGAAGAAAAAGATGCAGGATACTATATTCCATAATCATCTCACCTAAGAAGTTCCATCATCTGATGGCCCTCCAACAATCTGCATAGATGTATCATTATCAAGCCTATACTTTGTTTTTTTCGTTTCTCCTTCTGAAGAGGGTAGAACCATGTAGTCCCACGTATACACAGGATTTTTACCAGCGCCTTCTAATATTTTAGTTACCATTCCCAGATTATTGTCACTTAGCGTTCCCACAGTAATTGTTACCATTTCCAGATTTTTACCAGCATTTTCACTTCTTTTTTTCTCAGTTAGACTTAAATAACATTGCGAAAAAGAGCGCAGTTCTCCGAAATAAATGAAATGGCATACATTTCCCATAGTTATTGTCGCCAATTTACCAACTGACTATAAAAAGATTTCTTGCTGGAGTATCAACTCCCCCTATTTTGTGAGCATATTTTTAGAAGGATAAAAAAAAGACATTGCATGAGAACTGAGAATATAGTTTGAAGATAGTTATTATATTTTACCGCATAAATTGGCTCTGCCATCTGAGGTTTCCTGGCGATTGGCCAAAAGAAAAAGGCAGAAATAAGCACCTGACATCATTCTAATTATTATCACTGCCAGCATTATACTCTCTATATCTTTCAATTGCTCCTCCCAAAAAAGAAAGAAGCAAAAACTTATGACAGAAACAAAATTTAAAAAGGCAATTTTACAATCATATTATATCGAATTTATTTCTTGCAAATATGAATGATAAGGCATGGTCCGGCATATTTTATTCTAAGATTATCATCTCGACACAAAATCAGTCCTATCGTCAAAGTTACTTTGATTTGTCTGGTACAGACATCTTAGAATAATCAATACTCTCTACTAACCATGTACTCTTCCGTCTAAATCCTATGTTTCAAAAATCAAAAGAACCAATAAGAGAATCCAATACAGGACAAGGATAATGGTAATAGCTGAAAATATTCGATTCCTTTCTGGTGTCAGATGTTGGGATTCGTAATAGGCACCAAATGAGATATGAAAGAACGACCATGTATTGTTAATTCAAATATGTTGGAGAGAAGTACCTTCTTCACTGCCATTCTCTTCTTCAGAACTACCAGTATATTCAGAACCGGAATTTTCATCCTCAGTACCACTTGCCTCTTCTTGCTCTCTTTGTCTATTTTTGAGCAAAATGTAAAAAAGAAAGAAATTAGCTTTTTCAAAAGAAACTTGAAAGGCACATATATGAGGAATATAAAAAGAAAATCACTTTATAGTGGAATGCAACCAATTACATAGCTGAGTTATCTAGAAAAAAGTACTCCGGTTTAAAACAGAAAGTTGTTAAAACACCAAATTTTGAATATTTCCATCAGATTACTACCACAGTGGTTACCTCAGCTTGTATGCATCATAGCGTGATTGACTACCAGAAGAAAGTGCTTTCAGCAGGTCGTCAAAGACAGGACGCTCCTTGTAAGTTTTTTCATCAGAAGTCGTGTCCCCCGAAGACTCTTCAGAGAAATTTTCTAAAGTAGTTTGACCATGGGTCACCGTCAAGTCAAAGAAAAGAAAAGAGACAACAAAGAAGTATGTCCAAAGAGGACTTAAAATTCCTTTTTCAAACTAGTGCTACGCTGGAGAAAAACAAATGTAAAGTTTCACAGTGATAGTAATAAAATTCTAAGGAAGAAGAGCAACTTCAACCAATTATGTTGCCAGACTGAATGGTCAACTCGGATCTGTAAGTCCAGTGTGGCACGTTCCAAAAATCGCTTCACGAATGCAATAAAAAAATATATATTTAAAAAGTGCGGCACTTATAAGAACCTGAATCAGGCAGCGATCGGTGACGAGCAGACATAGGCCTGTCATCTACACGTTGTTTCTTTCTTACGACCTCAGTTGCCCCACCCTTCTCTTGTGTCTTGTTCCTCTTCGGTCCTTTAAATTCCAAAGAAAAAAAAAGGAACACAAAACCACCGTCACATTAGTGAACTCATTGCACAACATATTTACGACATCACCAATAACATCAGATTCTTTCGCATGATACTAGAAGGAACTTTTTCCATTATAAGGTTTGAACCCATCCGGTCGGGTGATCATATGGCATCCAAATTTTCGATTTTTTGATAATTCACTAGAATTTCCGTTATAATAGTCATCAAATGCGAGTACGGAGAGAAACGGTGCTCATGAAATAATGTCGTCCGGTCATACTTGCATTAATCTCAATGGAAATCTCAGCAGAAAAGCATGCTCTGACCATCTGTTAGGAATTTCCTCCATCTACCTTTTCTTTTCGCGTTCATCCTCATCCCGGTGAAGCGCTTCGCCATTGGAGGCCGCCCGCAGATGGGGAACACTGCCGAACGGGGAGAGGGAGGAGAGCGGGTTGTTGCCGCTGATTGAAGCTGGGGCTCGGAAGCCCGGAAGGGTAGAATGGCAGGGTTTGCAGCCGGACGGCGAGGAGGCCGCCGCCGGAGGAAGGAGGAGGCGGGGGGCGGGACGCCGGAGCAGAGGGGAGGTTCGCAGCCCGAGCAGGGTAGAAGAACCGGGGACCTCCTTAAACCTCAGCCCGGAGCAGCAACGGGCCACGAGTATTTATGGACTTCCGGCCCACTAATAACTTGTCTCCGTAGACAAATTCTAAGAATTTTCGTCCCTTCCCAAGTACCATCTGATGAACAGACCAGATAAGAAGAGGTAAAACAAGGTTATAAATTTTTCCAAGCTAGTATGAAATAAATATATATATATATATCTTAAAAAAATACTAAAAAATATTTTCCAACACACACTTGTACCCATAATTATTTATTAAATAAATTCACAAAGTACAAAAAGAGAGTACAATTTTATTTTATTTTTATTTTTGTGGATTTTAGTTATGATCAGCCTTGTGACTTTTGTTGAAGCAATAATGAGAGGTAAAACAGTAGATCAAGATCAAATGGAAGCCATTTTCCTTTTATTTTTTCATATTTGATCAAAAGAGAGTTGACCCAAATCATGCGAAGAACTCAACCCCATCGTGGCAGCAGAATGTTACCACTTTTATCATTTTTTCGAAAAAGGTCCAACATTTCTCTACCCAAAAGCAAAGCTGCTCGCCAAGAACCCGCAGGCTTTACCTCAGCTGCTGTGTGAAGGGATCATAGCAGCAGAAGGCATGCTGTTTTTCTTTCTTTTCTTTTTTTCCTTATCATAAACAAGCCCCTATGAGCGAGCGATCACCTGCGTTGACTTTTTGAGGGATCTTGAACCCAGAAAAACATGCTACTACCGAGCGTCTTGCATCCGGGCAGGGAAGTGTAGAGTATCATAAGAAGAGAAATATATCTCTACTCGTCCCTGAATGAATCGGGCTCGTCAACTCCTACATAAACAAACCCAAAGCGAGTTCAGTCCAGATGCATTCACTCCCGATAATCTCTGACCTGAAGCTCTCTGATTTATTTAGTAGTAAAAAACGAGTTGCATATTGATTATTGACAGCACAAACGGGTTCTACGTGTCCTACCCTTCTGTGTATCCATCCATCGACCCGGAAAACAGAAGGTATTCTCTAACGAATGGAGTCGCGAGGAACCCAGCTATGGAAAATCCTACTCTGATAAGAGAAACGACCAAGGAACTGTCGGATACCATAACTCAAGCTTACTAGACCAGGAACCTCCCTCCGGTCAACTGAATTCGACCCCTCACCAGCAACAAACTGAACTATGGCAAGGACGAAAATTAGAATTACTAACCTTCTATGGGTCAAGATTTGAGAGCTACATCTTCAAGGTATAGCTATTTTCCACCACCTACGGAGTTCCTGAGCAAGAGAAACGCAAGTTGGTGGGACTAAGTATGAATGGGTTCACGTTACACCAGTTTTAATGGGTCATGAGCCGGCACCCCTTCCAGAATTAGGATAATTATCTCAATCATCTATCGGAAAGGTAGCCCAAATCAATCTGATTCCTTATATGATAAACTATTGAGAATCTGCCAACATGGTACGGTGGCCGAACACCGAGAAGATTTTGAGATCCTCACCAACATCATTTGAGACATTCTGAAGCTGATGCTGAAGAGCACCTTCTTAAATAGACTCAAGGAAGAAATACAAGCCGAGGTCGGTGTGCTTCATCCAAGGGGGATGAAGAAATAATGAAGATGGGCCAAGAAGTGGAGGTAAAACTCAACCCCTCATCCCACCTATCCATGATGACCTGACCTTGACCCCCTAGACCCTCGGAGGAGTTGGCAGTCACCTTAGATCCCCAACAGTCAAGAATGTCAGATTTGGTCACATCTGGGAGAAAGGCCGGGTGACTAGGGGCACTCCAGGCAACTCAAGAGTGGCATACTACATTACCCCAGATCAGAGGAAGAAACTAAACCTCACATTTTAAGAGAAAAGTTACATTGGGTCACCAGGGTCGAAAGGGGTGACCCCCCAAATGCAAGGAACCATCGCCAATATGGAGCCAATACTATAGTCCCTACAAACAAGCATGAAGCCTTTAAGTTCCGTGAAAAAATTGAAAGTAGACCTATCATGATCCTAGTGGACCTTGACATAACTCACAACTTCATCGGCGACTGATTGACTTGTGACTTGCAACCACCTATGATCCAAATTTCCTAATATAAAGTTGTCACCATATTTGTTGAGAAGGTGGATGGCACGAAGCTCACACCTCTTATTCCAATAGACCTGTAGCACACCTATATATGCGACAATTTCTTTTACTTTCCTCTAGCCATGGTGAAAGTTGTCTTCAATATGAAATGATTGAAATTTGTAGAAATAAATATTTAAGCATGAGATTGCAATAATAGTAGAAACTTGATTTCTAGATATCAGTGACAGCAACTAAAAGAAAAATCATTAAGCTATCAAAAATCTTGATAAGAACAAGACTTTAACTAGATACCTTTAATCCACATCTCAATATCTTTGAGACGACCCACACACTAGAGAGTCACTAATGGACTCTTATTTCTTTCAATAAAAACTTCATTTGTAATAGAAGAGAGAAGGGAAACCAAGAAAGAAAAAGAGAGTTGATGGAGAAAAAATGGAATCAAGGAAGATAGATAAATCTCATCATCTGTTATACTAAAAAAAAAGAGAAATACATGCCCTAGTTATATAAAATAAGAAAATGTAACTTTTCTCTTAAAAGGAGGCATCTCGACCTATGTGCAAGCAAACTCACACATCTTAGAAGTGATGGTTTCAACTTCCCTCGTTTCCCCCTCCCTCTCTCTTTACATGACCCCTGAATAGGACAAAAGTGATGAGGTGACAATTGTCCCTCTCTCCTTACACAACCCCCGAACGGGTTACATGGGGTAAGGTGACAACCGTGTCACCACCCCTCACTCCTCACATGTCTCCCAAGTGAGTTAGATGGGAGAAGGTTTCTCACACATCTCTCGAATGAGTATGACGAGAGGATACTCCTCTCACATCTCCTGAACAAGTCAGTTGTGATGGGCTAACACTACCAACAAAGTCTCTTCGTCAATTTGTCGTGCACCTTGATGTAAGTATGTTATCTTTCCACTCTGAAATGGAATGAGTGGGTTATCAAGATGGAGTAGACAGGAGAAATGGTAGAGACTGTGCTAAAGTCACTATCTAGTCATGTGAAGGTTGGTGACTTCTGCTTCAAAATCTTCCAACTATCTACAGTTGAGTTGAGTTTAGATTCCACCATGGGGGGAAGAGCGATTATGGTGAGAATTTTCAAAGGTCTTCGTTGAGCCTCACAACTTGTCACATAGCATGAGGTTGACCACCAAATCAACTTGAACCTAGAGGTCATGCCCAACAACATCTGGCTATTCCACTACCCTACTTCCAAAAGGTAGAGTTAAAGAAAATGGTGGAAGAGATTGTCACGGCTAGCATCACACAACACACACAAAAGCCTCTACTTGAGCCTGGCGCTACTAGTCCAAAAGTAAGATGGTACTTGGAGATTTTGTGTGGACTATTGCATACTCAATCAAGCCATAGTCTATGATTACTTTTCGATTTTGGTGGTGAAGGAACTACTAGACAATCTCAATGGCAAGAAGATCTTCTCCAAACTTGATCTAAGAGTAAGGCATCACCATATCCAAGTTGAGGCAAATAACATCCTAAAGACAACGTTCCGCGCCCATGAAGGACATTACTAGTTTCTCGTGATGCCTTTCAGGATCACCAATGCTCATGTCACCTTTCAAGCACAGATGAACATAATATTCTTCAATGATATTATAATCTATAGCCAAGGTCCAAAGGAGCACAAAAGCCATTTGAACCAAGTGTTCAAAATTATGAACCAACATCAACTATAAATTCATCCAAAAAAATGTTGCTTCAATTAATACCAAATCACCTACCCTGGGCATTGGATCTCTATTGTGAGGGTTGAGATGTACTAGTAGAAGATCCAACCCATGCAAAAGTGGCTGACTTTCCATAATCTCCATGAGCTACAGGAGATTCTTGGGCCTATTATGATATTATCGACAATTTATTACAAGGTATGGGTCGATCGCCCTTAACCTAACCCAACTACTAAAATGAGATGCATTCTAATGGGGGGATGAGGCAAAAGAGGTATTCCAACAGCTCTAATAGGTGTTAACCTTTGTCTAATTCTCTCATTATTGGATTTTTTGCTTAACATTTGAATTAGAAACAGATGGGTTGAGTAGAGGCATCAAAGTAATCTTGATGCAAAGGTAAAAGCTGATCACATATTTCAATTAAGAAATGTCCACCGTTGAAAAATTCACAACCATTGACCATTTACCAACGAGAATTAGTGATGATCGTGTTAGTGACCTTAAAGTGGAAACATTACTTGTTTGGATGACACTTCATCATCTTCACCGGCCTATGGAGCTTGAGATTTATTCTGGGGCAGTAATAGGTACTACTTAACTACCAAAAATGATTGTCTAAACTACTAGTATTCAATTTTGAAACCTAGTATAAAGTTGGAATGAAAAATCAAACAATTGTTCTATTGTGAGTTTTTGACAATGTGTGGCTTCAAGAATTCATAGTGTCACGGCCAAAACTACTAGACAACATCATCATCCAAGAGTATCACATGGACTCATACTTATTGGGCTTCCAAAATCAACTTCTCCATCAGCAAAAGAGATGGTCATCATACCCAAGACAAGAAGGGTTGACTACTAATTTCAAAGTAATCCTTCTGCATTCCTACCCTCCTGCAAGAATTTCACAACTCTCACATAGGTGGGCACTTTAGGTTCAACCACACGTATCAAAAAATCAGCAAAACATAATACATTGAGGAATGAAGCAGTAAATATGTTAATATATTGTCAACTACTTAGTATGCTAGTAGAACAAGTCTAATAATTTATCACTAGGAAGCCTACTACAATTACTCCTCGTGAGATTTAACACAATGATAGTAGTTGTAGATAGACTCAACAAAAATGTCTACTTTTTACAACTAAAACATCTACTTTTAGTGAAGGACGTGACTCAAGTATTCATTTGAGATATGATTCATCTTCATGGGATTTCAAAGTCAATGTTGTCCGATAGAGATTGAATCTTCCTCAATAAATTCTGGACCGAGCTCTTTTAACTGCAGAAGACTACTCTCTAGCACATGAGTTTATATCATTCCCAAACGAATGATTAATTGGAGGTGTTGAACCGATGACTCAAAACCTATCTTCATTATTTTGTAGGAGATTGTTATAAGTAGTGGAGCCATTACATTGCATGGGTAAAATACTAGTTCAACATCACCTTCAATGTCTCCATTGGCACAACGCCTTTTAAGATAGTCTATGGTAGGGATTCCCCGACCCTCTGTTGTTATCTTTCAGGCTCTTATGTGATAGAATTATTAGATCATATGCTCCACTAGAGGGATTGGGCCATCACCACTTAGAATGAGCTCAAGTGTATATGTAAAGGCAAGTTGACCACCAAAGCAGGTACATGAGTTTTAGGTCAGAGATCGAGTGTTCCTATGGCTTCGACCCTATCAACACCACTTGGAGGCTCTATGGCCGTACAAGAACCTATCTCCATGGTTTTATGGGCCATTCATCATCTAGGAATGAATTGGCTCAATTGCATATCACTTGGACCTTCCTAAAATGGCTCAAATGCACCCCAACTGCCATGTGTTTTAGCTGAAGTAGGTGGTCAACAATTCCGAACCTAGTGGATCACTTCCTCTCTTGGGTCCTTCAACCCCTTCACATGAGAGCCCGCGCACACAATCCTCTAAGAGTTTCAGACTTGCACCTTGATGGTAAGGTACATCAAATATGAGGGAGTATTGTTGAGGCCCTAGCCTCAACTAAGAATCCACATAGGTCAATATCTCAGATCTGATTGCAAAAAGGAATCCGGGTATATGGATCCTGCACAAATGACAGTTGAACGGTCTACTGCAGCTGAGGGCGGTGACCATTAAGATCTACCTAACAATCAGCAGGGCTGGTTAGCCCGGTAAGCGACCACGGAGAATCTGATGGAATGACTCAAGCAAACTGATGCACCGTGCTTATAGGAAATAGAAGAAGAAAAGGAAACACAATGAAGAAGACCCCCAAGACCCACCATCTCGAAGGGGTGATTCATCAGAGAACTCTTGTAAGAGTTCTCTGTGTCCTACCCTTCTGTGTATCCTTCCCTTCCCCTAAGTTTCTCACGCTCTTCGGAGTCTAAGGACCCTCTCTCTGTATTCAGTGTTTGTGAATCAGTGAAATTCCAGCGCCCTTCTATTTGGTTTTCCATCGGAGGCCATCCTTAGTTCAAGATTTGGCCGACCCAAATTCGGGCACCCATCATAGACAAGGATTGGGAGCATGAAATCTCTCTCCTCTCTTTTTCTCTCGCTCTCTCTCTCTCTCCCTCGCTCTCTCTCTCACTCACTCTCTCTCACACTCGCTCTCTCTCACTCACTCTCTATCTGTCTCTCCCTCTCTTACTCTCACTCACTCTCTCACTCCCTCCCTCCCTCGCTCTCTCTCTTCTCTCTCTCGCTTAAATAATTAATTGTACACATGGATGGATGGATGGGTAGGCTCGTGCGTAATTGGAAGACTGCATGGGCATGAAAGTGACAAAGGTTGGTTGTGACGCCGGCAGTTTTACAAGAGCGTTGACCTGCCCCGACTTTCATCCTGGCCTGGGAAAGTCAAGAGCGTTGCTTTCACCATCCGAGAGGTTCCTCTCCTTCCCACCGTTAGCTTGGATCCTGAGATTTCGTGCTCATGACATCAAATTAACAGATCTGCAACAACACATCCTGATCTTTCGGCTTTGTGAGGCCAAAATCACAAATCTGGGATATCACATCTTGGCATTCCGCCATCGTGTTCTCGTTGTTCATGGCAACGGAAAACCCGGCCGTTCTGCTGACGTTCTGGACAGACACCGGAAGACGTCGGAACGCCGCCGCTCTTCGGGGCAAGAATGAGGTGGCCTCTGGACACCACGAAGAAACAGTGAAGGCCCGCTTCTGTGCCACGGCGGAGCACGGCGACGGCGCTGGAAGAGAAACCTGTAGAAGAAAAGAAAAAAAGGGACAAGACTTGAACGGGTTATCGTGCCCTCTCTCTCTCTCTCTCTCTCTCTACTAATGTTCTAACTATCGCCGTCAGTTTCTCCGTCCGGCTATGGCAGTGCAACAGCCTGTGAAGAAGATCGAGGAAGAGGAGGGGTGATGGAGATGGGAAGGGGTGTGAGTCTGGGCTGTAGAGCTCCCTTCAATCCAAAGGAGGTGGGCCGGAGAAGCTGATGCAGCTCCAGCATCATGCAAGCCAGCCATGCTGCCGCCAGGTTCCCTGGGCAGCGTGCTGGTATCCATGAGTCTGCAGCTCCATGCAGGCCCTCCGCGGCCTACTTTAGACCTCGGGGAGCCCTACCGGACGCCACCACACCCCCACCTCATCGTCCGAACAAACCTTATAAACTGAAAAAATAAACGAGTCGATGGCTAGAGAGAGAGAGAGGACGGTAGGGAGAGAGGGAGGTGACCCGTGTAGATAGAAACCCCAGAAGCCTCCAAAGCTCAGAGTTATCATCTAAATGCATGCCTCAGCTTCGTGATACTACCTACTCTTCCCCCCCTCCTCCTCCCTGCATGGGAGGGCATAGAAGAAGAGTCCGTCACTGTCTTCGCGTTCCCTTCCCATCTTCACGCTCTCCTCTACCCACGACAGATAAGAGAACCCATCAGTCTCCTCTGATTTATAGCCGGGGGGAGAGGGAAGAGGACGAGGGTCGTCTTCTTCCTGGTCTGACACCTCTCTTTTCACCATCACGGGGGGAACATTCACGAAGCGCCCGGCCCCTCCCTCTTCACGGCCGTCGCTGCGGCCACCGTACGATGCTTCGCCACTGGATCCGACGCTAGGACGTTGACGATACATCGGAGGTCCCCCACCGCGCTGGTCGCTGAAACGTCACATCCGTCAACCTTTTCCCTTCTCAGACCGACGCGCAGAGAGTGAAGGGGATGAGCTACGTCTCCTCCCCAGTTCTACCATCCCCGACAGAGAATTCATAGCCGCCTCTGGACACCGCCGATTCCTCGAAGTTACCCATTGCGGCCCACGCCGTCGACGGTGAAAACAAACTCAGACGACTATGCTTCAGAAAAAACGGCGTGGGTTAATGCCAGATTCGTTTACATCGATTTTTTTTGAAGAGAAAACGGGATCTACCCAGACGAGCTAGCATCATGGTCATCATCGTCACCATGAAGAGCGGCACCAGAGGGAAAGGAATCAAAGTGGGTCTGGGCGGCTGTTTGGCGTGGGGCGGCCAGTGCTGGGAGGTCAGGGCGACATGACACGGCGAGGGAGGGCAGGGGATCCACCATGCCTGCCAAATCCGCTCCTTTGTCTGCACCTCCATCGCTCCCCCCCCCCTCCCCCCCTCTCTCTACTCTCCATCTTCCAGGGGTCCCCGGCCCGCGGCGGAGAAACCGGCCAGTCTTCGCTCGCTTGCCCATCTGAACCCCTCCCTCCTACCTATAAATCAATCCGACGAACAGGCGGCTGTTTCATCCGCGGACGGACGGATGTTAGGGAACCCGGTGGCACCATTCCCAGCCTCCAACTGGCGAACAGGCGATAGATGCTCTCTCTCTCTCTCTTTACCCCCCCCCCCCTTCCCAACTTACCAGAAGGGTAGCTGCTGTCTGTTTCTCTCCGATCTCCCTGTTTAATGATCGCGGCGCAGCCCGGGCATATCAGACACCTTGTAGCAGATTAAATTATCCGATTGAGCTGAGAAGCATCGACCGATAATCACCCAATCCAATGCGTTGAAACCAAACAATTTTCCTTTTTAAAAAAAGGAAAAAGAGAAGAGAAAAGAAAAGAAAAAGGGTTTGCGCGGCTGGAGATGGAGAGAGGACATATGCAGATGCGTGTTACAGGTAAAAGAGGGAAACCCACTGCTACCCCGGCGCATTACAGGTAAAAGAGGGAATCAGTTCAAAGGTTTGATGTGCTGGAGAGATTATTCCGCACATGGCAGCTGAGAAGAATCTAGTCATCCATAAACTGGACTAGCTAGCAGGGTCTGCAGTCACTTGGACACGGGGACGACGTGAGAGGCCCACGGCCACATGTCCGAGCCGCAGCTGGAGATGTCCCCGGCTATTCTGCTTTGGAGCTGCTCCAGACCCGGAATCCGCTCCATTGACTGGCTTTGGGTTGACTTGGATCCCTGGTTACTGTCCCCATGCTCGCTGGTCTCCATTCCGGCTGGTTGAAGCTGCCCGTTGAACGCCCCCATGCCCACATAACGGCCTTCGTCTCCTTGAACGCCCACCGGCGGTGGAAGCTCCGATGCCCGGCACACATGGTGTGCGCTGGGCACCTGAGGGGCCACTGCCGGGCTCTGGAGAAGATTGTTCAGAGTGAACGCCAGGGATCCTCTGGTGACCAAGTCTTCAGCCATCTTCACCTGAGAGATTCAGTGTGAGATGAGAATTTCCAAACTTGTGGATCTGGGGATCTTGTGGTGAGATTCCAAGGCCCGGACATGGAAATATGGTTTGGACTTCTTTCTTTGGTCAAACGGGGCAGAAATTCCCTACCTTAACTCTCAAGGCTTCGACGTCTGATTTGAGCACCCGGTTATCAGTAGCAGCATCGGTGAGCTGCTGGCTAGCATCCATTAGTTGCTTGTACAAAGAGGCATTCTCTCCTCTTAGCTGATCAACCTGGGACGCAAAATGAGCAGTGTAGATTGGATGATATGGCCCATTGCTGATGGATTTGGTATCTCGATCAAAGGATGATAAAATATTCGAAGTCAGTTCTTTAAAAAACCGTGTTGGGCAGCTATGGATCTTCATGACGTGCACTAGAAAAGCTCTTTCCTTTACAGTTTCGCCATTAATGGCCCCAGAGAGGAGGCTTTCAACATCATGGGGCCACTGCTCTCAAGAGAGATTCCGATCCATTAGGCTCAAATATGAATTCATATCGCTAACACCATTCCTAATACTTGAAGAAGTGAATTCACCACAAGAAATGTGCCCCACCGTCACTCTCAGTATTGGCAATGAGCATGCTCTTCTTACCTCTTTTTTTCTTTTTTCTTTTTTTTCTTTTTTTTCTTTTTTTTTTTGGTAAAAGATTATATGTCTACATGCTTCACGGTTCAGGGTTATTAATTATTAAAATTACAGCTTATGGCCAAAAAATGACTGCTAGTGTGATGTTATGGCCCAACTTTCAACATCATGAGCTTTTTAGACAAGATATGTAGATATAAAAAATTGGCAAGGAGAGTGCCCACCAAGATCCATACCATTAATGTTAGACGAGTTTTTTATTATTATTAAAGAGCGATCATGCCGGATTCTCAATAAATGACAGGGGCAAGAATAGTCATATATATAAAACAGCCAAGAGGAGGGAGAAGCATCAGATACCTGCAACTCCAAGTCTGCCAATTGAGCTTGTTTTCTCCTCCTTGATCTTCTAGCAGATTCTCGATTAGAAACCTTCCTAAAACAAATTTGACAATATAAACTAATGAACCTTCTACCTTGGAAACAAAAAACACAGGACCTATTTTAGACAGCCAATCTTAAAGCAATTATGAGTAAATGACTACTACACATTGGCCGACACAAAGTTGCATTTCAACTTTGCACATGACTGGCACAAACGTGAGCCCTGATCAACTCAATAAAGCAGACCGCCATAGAGCATCATGCAGCCATGGTCTTACAATCTTTGCTCGCGAAGAAGGCAGCCCCGCAAGGATTATGTCATGGGTTCAAAAGCACAGGAAATACCATTGGCGATTGGCCTTCATCTGGTTCTCTCCGGACCAAGAGTTATTGGTCCCACATTTGTCACGCTCCATATGTTAGAGACAGATCTAATCAACTGCCGCATGAAATATAAGCTATATCTTCCCCATAGACAACTTTTCATCAGTCACTTGTGGATTGAGGTCCTGGTCTTCAACTGTTTCACAACGGCCTTAACAACTATGAGATCAATCTTACACTATCTCCGGCTTTAAACTGCTCGTTTGCCACTTCACATCACACATAAGTCATCTAGTGTAACAAGATTTCAACTTCCGGCAATGGTTTTTGATTTTTCCTGTAAATCATGACGCTCAAGGGAGAAGGTTCCTTCCCAACGAGAGAAAATAAGTTGTTTCTGAAAGAAATGAAATTGTTCTACCTCCTCATGCGTTTCAAATCAATGGCATCTGCGCTCTGTTCACATGATCCGGCTTCTATGTCCAAAGATTCATCATCTGACTGCTCAGAGCCACTTGTTATTCCTGGGGCTTGAATATCTGTGAACTTGGGCTTATGTGACGAAGTTGGACTTCCAACTGGACATTATAAGAAGCATATTGTTATCGCTCACAATATTCAAGTGGAATCCAAAAAATTAGAGAAGTTGAACGGTCACAATATAAGAAAATTCATTTTCTGAATCATAAAGTTGGTGTCTCAACATATAAGATGTTCAGTATTTTTTCAGCAAAAAAATGGAAGCGATGAACAACCTTATTAGTGAAAGACTGCTAAAACTTCAAAAATCTTTTACCACTTTTTGAAATGCACTTTTGTTGCGAAAAAATCCACAGAAAGTGCATCCTTTGAAAGACAGAAAAAAAGATTGACAGTTCTATGAAGCTCTCAAAGTCACTGAGCCCAATTATGACTCGGTTGCTTACATCCTCAGAATGTGTTGCATAGGGCATTGGATTTCGATAGTCTCTGATAAGCTTTTTATTCCTAACAAAGTGTGTCAGTTCCGTAGGTCCCAGGTTTTGTACCCAGACTGGGTACTTAATTGGAAGAGATAGCTCATCCATACTTTAAATACGGTTTTGTAAAAAAAATGACTATGGCTATGTATATGCTTGCACTGGATACCAAATACTGTATTATGCAACATTCTTCTTTCCCCTTTTGCACATATGTTTATGTTTATCGATTTACCCTTCGATCACTTAACAGAATTTATTTCAAGAACTTACTGAAATTATCCTTGTCTGTATCTGGTTAACAGATTTGACCATGTTGGGACACCAGTGCGTGATTTATCCTTGCATCATTTGATAACTTGTTTACTAACCAAAACGACAGTGAGACTCGCTAAAATCTAATTGAATTGACTGAGAAACTTGTGGACATAGTCGAGGAAATTTATGCCACTTCGAAAAGGAAAGCAGGAATTACAGTTTCTAGATGAATTTCACAAAAATTGAGATGAGTCGTGAATGAAGCTAAAAGCTCAAGTCATACCACAAACAGATGATTGTGACTCAATAGTTGCAGAAATACTTGAATGCCTCGGAGCATGACTTTGTGACCACAATAGACAATTAATCAGATCACCAGCTGAATCGTGATTTATTGCATCCCCATCCTGTGTTTTACAAGAAATGATAACATAGTCACTGAAACCATTATTACAATCAGAGTGCAAAAATTTATACGTATTTTTTGCATGGCACAAAGCTACTAATAGAGGATGTGGTTGTGTTTCAAAGCAGATGCAAGGATAGATAACGATTCTGACTGCTCAATGGCTACTCTCGACTAGATTCCAGGAAAATTTATCCATATTCAAATTCATATCAAACGATCAAAGATATATGATCCACTTCCTCAAGCGAGCAAGTTCCAGAATTATAGGGTTGTGTCCTTTAGGAGCGTGCACGATGCATTCTGTTTTTGAATCCAGCAAAGGATACTGATGTTAGACTATCAACTTTTGGACAGTTCACCAAAAAGTCAATTTCTGCAGATAATCAAATTACCGAGTATTTCCCGGTTTATGATAGGGAATCAAAAGGCTTTCAAACTCGGGGGTGGGTTCTCCTTTGGATTATATGATGCATGCTCACAATATGGAAGCAAGACTTATTTTAGCTTACCCGGCTCCCGGAGAAATTGAAACTCAGGTCTTCACCACCAGCCCTGAGCAAGAGGTCGTCCCTCATCGTCGACCCTGATGTGGCACCGGCGGGGGAGGTTGTTGTGGACGTCTGGGGCTGCAAGAACGCCTCAAGATCCCAGTCCGACCCGCTCCTCTTCATGTTGGGCAGATCCCCTTCTGCTCTCTCCATGCTCTACCCTTCAGCTTCCCCTCCCCCAGTAAAAGACTGGATTTCTGCTGGCACCGCTACTGCAGAGTGGAGGAATCGGATGTGGCTCTTGAGGATAGAACGAGAGGGGAAACAGAGCAATGAGTCAAAAAGAGTTGCGGAGGAAGGTAGAAGCCAATCTAAAAGAAGGGGCACCCCTCCCGGAAGAACCACCAGAGTACCACTCCGATAGGTGCGCCAGCAGCGGGGAATTCCAGCGAAACAAGGGGAGAGGGGTGTCCTTTCGATTCTGGAAAGGGATGGCGTGCATGGTTATTGGAGTTCTGATTCGGATTCCCACCGACCGCTGCACTCCTTGGCCGTCGTCTTCCTCCATTAGTTTATGGTTCCTCAGAAAGAGACGGAAAAGGAAGAAAGCAGAGAGCACAGGGGGCGATTGCGTACGCAGGTAGGGAAAGAAGGGTCGCCTCCATATTATAAATCCATGGATAAAGGCTCGTGCGGACTTCTTGGTGGCGTCCTGCCTTCCCCCTTTGGACGGCGCCTGGCCTTTGCTGCCTCAGCATCTTGTCACCATTGACAGGGTTGGCGGCGGCAAAAGTCCGCCCGACGGCCCGAGGTTTTGGGCGAACAGGTCTCCCTCCAGAACAGAGCAACTTGCCGTAAAGTCGGAATGTCGACGATGCCGATGTCTTCTAGAGCGTCTTCTCGGCACCTCCTCCCGTGCCCTGTGACCCTCCTTCCACCGGATTATTGCGCACAACCAAAAGAACCACAGATGTTGCCGTCACATGCTGCATCAAACACATCGCGCCCGGCGACTGTTTTGATCGAAGTACCGACCGAAAGGAGCACTGCCTGTAACCCTACCACGCCACGGGGAGAATCCTATCCCAGCTTCCAGCTGAGATCCTAACATGGAGGGCGGTTCGAACAAAAACATATAAAACAAGATCAAATTGATGAAAGAAAAAAAAAAACCACAATCTCCTCCCACGATCATACTCCATCCTAATCAAGAGGAAAATCCCATCCCAGCTCCCAGCGAAGATCCTAAAATGGCGGGAGGTTCGACAAAAACATATAAAACAAGATTAAATTGATAAAAAGAAGAAAAAAACCACAATCTCCTCCCATGATCATACTCTATCCGGATCAAAAGGAAATTCCAATCCCAGCTCCCAGCTGAGATCCTAACATGGCCGCGGTTCGAACAAAAAAATAAATAAAACAAGATCAAATTAATGAAAAGGAAAAAAAACCACAATCTCCTCCCACGATCATACACTATCCGGATCAAGAGGAAAATCCAATCCCAGCTCCCAGCTGACATCCTAACATGGCGCGCGGTTCGAACAAATAAATAAATAAAACAAGATCAAATTAATGAAAAGAAAGAAAAGAAAAACACAATCTCCTCCCGCGATCATACTCTATCCGAATCAAGATTACGGTAAAAATAATACGCAGGGAATACGAGAAGAAAGGAAAATCGAGATCGCCGTGATCTTCCCAGGAACTGCCTCTCGCCATCTCCTAGGGTTTGAAGAGGGCGACTCGCACGAATATTTTGACCGTTAGTAGAATTATCGGACTCGATCCAGTAAGGATCCTATGCAAGACAGGAGATCCGATAATTCCTGGCAATCGGTTTTCGGGTCGTCCAAAAGGAAGGAAACCACCGTCATTAGACAATAAAACCAAGAATAAATTGAATTAATTCCCTATGTATCCCCTCCATCGTTCCCAACCCTAGCCGCCCAACTGCAGATGTCTCGAGTGGTCTCTCTGCTCTTCGATCGGTCCTGAACTTGTGCAGGTGGTCTCGCCGGCGGGTCTGCGATCGTTGTCCAAGTCCCCGGACTGCGGGATAGGTGGCTGCCTGGCCCCCCCTAATCCTCTTCTTCCGGAGGTTCACTCTAATCTATCTTCTTTTTGGTTAGTCTTTCTGTCTTTATTTTATTCTCTCTTCCAATCTTCTCACAGTTAAAAACTGGAAAGAGAGGACGGGGTCGAAAGCATTCCATATTTTTTTAACATATTTTTTGATTGATTCTTCCGACATGCGTGCCCCCGCCTGGTGGACAGAACACGTAGTTTCGAAACATTGGACGTCGGTTGGGTAATTGACAATTGTAATTGTGGGAGAATACTTTCTAGGAATTATAAATGAAAATTTCTATGAAGTGCGTTTGCTCATGATTCGGTAACTGCGATCCCTTGGATTTTTGTGTTTTCTCTCTCTAAGTCGTGGTATGGAAATTTGGCGCAGAGCTCAAAGTTCTGAATCTTTTCCTTTCTTCAACATTGTTCTCAATCAGTGTGATGAACTTTCGACGAGTTTTCGGGATTTTGGCGCAGAAGCTGGTTAATTTTAAACACCAATTGCAATTTCTTGCTAGCTCGTTGAATCTTAAAACTTTTATTCGTCAGATACTTTCACTCGACCTCTTTTCCCCCGGTCAAATGTCAAGTATGAGAAGGCAGGGACAATATGCCGATTCCAGCATGAATGCCGCGGTCAATGCTCAGATGCACCACATCTCAGGTCATAGAATGCAGCACTCTTCTGGAATGAACCATTTTCCAGGAAGGGCAGAGTCGTTGCCTAGTGACGATGAGTACTTATCATCAAAACCTGAGGGGCAGTGGCAATGGGATAGAGATGGACCAATGGGAACAAATTCATCATCATCTCATGGATACAGAGAAGGTATGTTCTGGTTCTGTTCAGTCGTAATAGCCCTATACGTTGTTGCGATTCCACTCGCCTTTACTGGTGAATTTTGGTCATTTTGCCCAATTCTTTTGGCAGAATACTAAACAAGTGTCATGTTCTGTCGTTTAACATTCTATTCATCTTCCTGTTCCTCGAAGTTTTAGGATGCGCTCTCATAAGAGATATGTTTTTCTCTTCAAGTGCCATGTTCCGGTGAATGACTGTTATCTCTAGAGTATTTCAACTAGATTAGCTAAAATTTTGGATTTTCTGTTAAAAATTACCAGGCAAGTTCCTTGTAGAAAGAATTGGGTGGACTACTTTTGACCTCATCATGTTCAGTCGGTCATAAATATTATTTATTTTCCCTAGAAGCAAAACCTAAGGCAATTTACTTATCTTGAAGAATATAACTATATATCAGTTCCTGACATATATGGATTATGTAGCTTTTTTCTTGTTTAGTTTATTTGAGTCATATTGTAGCACACTGGCTTAGTCAGGCATTTTGCAGATGTTTCTCCCTGATGTTTTATCTGCTGAAAACCTTTGTCATTTGTACCGTCTCATGTCATTCGAAAATAGTCCACTTTTGAGGGTGGACTTCCAGTCTAATGTTCCTCGTTGAGGCTGCTGTTACAAATAAGAACTTATTGATATTAGATGTAAAGCTTCCCACCTGAGGATGACCAAATATTGCATCCATGTCATCCTACAGCATTATTGGCAATTTGATGTCAATGATTGTTCCGACTAGAGACGTATCAACGGGAATAATTGCCTGTGTACTTCAACAGGAAATAGTTTCATGAGTAAAATTATGCATTCCTTATGCATTGCAGTTTGAATCTTTTGCCAGTGAAATGAGTCAATCTCCTTCAGAATGCTTTTTCGGTCGTCATTCAAGATAAACTTCTAATTTGATGAAAATTTTGAATTTCCTATCGCATAAAATATTCGCAGTAAGTACTATATGAGCACAAACCACAAATAGAAATTAGTGTGATCCGTCGAACTGTTGAAGGATTCCACAATTAGAAATTACTAGTTTTTGTAGTAATAAAGGGACGCCAAATCAAATCTTAGCTTTCATGGAAGGACAATTTTCGTTTCTACCTCTTGTCTTCGAATTGGTCATTGTTGTACATCATTAACTAAGTTTGAAGGACGTTATTTTGTCCTCCGAAAAAATTGGAGCTTTGATGCTATAATTTTATCCAGGTAGAAAAATGTACCATAAGTGAGGATACATAGCAAGTTGCTGGTGACCAATGAAATGCAGTGTGATATCATTTATATTGGCAAGTTAATGTGTACTCTGGCTTGTAGGATACTCTCATTCCTAGGAACTGAATGTATTTTTCTTGTCCTTAAGGCATAGATAGTATGGCGCACTGATAAAGTTATGCATTGGTGTAATCATTTGATAAGCCATGAATCGGCCTTTCAAGTATACAAGTTAAATCGATGGGAAAGGTCATTGAGCGGTTTGCCTGTTTGCTAACTGTTGAATTGGCTGTGCAAACATTTAAATTAAACAGAAGCCTACGATCTTCCACTAGGACTAGATTTTTTGTTCTTTTTTACAAGAGACTGACAAGAACCGATTGGAATTCAGAGATTAGTTAGATCTGCAAATATTGCTTATCTGAAGTACAAATGGTAAATTCATCAAAAGAAATACACACTACTTTAGACTGTGGCTCATACTGCTCAGAAGGCCAAGAATATTTATTCTTCAGAAATGATTGCTCTTTTGCTATTTCTTTTATGCAGTGCAGCACTGAAGGTGTTACCCTGGCACTGAAGTTCTCCATTTGGAGCATGAGTTCCCAAATTTTATCTTGATAAGACTGGAGAAAAGTGTCTGCGTGATTCAACATCCGACTATAATCTGGCTAGGAAGGTTATGGGTAATATTGCGCACAGCATAAATAGGTTGGATCATGTATGATTTAATCCTTTTACCCTGAGATTGATTGGTCAAGTTGAGCACGTGAAGTAGGTTGATGAAATTCTTCCTTGTGGGGATGTAGCTGCAATATATTTGTTGAGAACTAGGTTTTTACTTTTGTTTATATCGAATGGTGAAACATTAGAAATGGAGGTTGTGTAGGTTTTGGAGAGAGGTCGTAGGCCGAAACCGTTCTTCATTGCATTTTTCTTGAATGATTTGCAGATCCATCTCTAATCCTCTAGGCAATTAGGTTCAAAACCCAGCAGACTCAAGAAATAACAATGCATATGCTTCGGCCCTAGGGTCACCTATATCTCTCTTGCTATTCAGTGTTGGGCCATCTCTTCTCAGCTGGACTTGGTATTGGATGTATGTCCAGGGAATGATTCATCTCAACCTGTATTTCAAGGTCAAAGATCAGATCCAAAGATGCTTACAGAGAAACAAGTCAATGCTGACCCAAGATCACAGTCCCACGAACAGGAGATGGAAGCTGGTTATGATGATGGCTCATTTCCCCAGACGTTCGAAGGTCTTGAGAGGAAGTTCCTTGAAGACATCATGAAACTGACGAAGGAGCATGACAATGCAGAGGATGCCGAGAATGCTCGCCATAGAGAGGTAAAATAATTTAATATCCGTACCTGTCGACATCGACATTGTAGGAGCACCCAATTCGTCATAACCCGTTTCATGTCTATAGAGAGGTTAATAACCAGCGATTAAGATGCTCTGCAAAACTCCATGTCTAAACAAGCTCTTGCTTGCATCTCAGGGAGCAAGAACTTTTTGGACAGAAGTATATAAAATGGTTTATCTTCTCGATTTGCGAGGTGATAACCATCATTCGCGGAGCTCCTGCGCTCTTGTGCTTATTAGATGTCTGCACCCTCTCTCTTCTTGCCATTCTAACATGCTCTGATATCTGATCATATTATTCATGCTGGTTACAATGTGAGGAAATAACATATTGAATGATCTTGGAAAGCTTGAAGTAGCGGCCTCATTAGTTAACACAATGGTTTTAGGTGAAAGGCGTCCTGGCTGATAAAGGATCATTTCCATTGATTGTTGGGTTTTAGTTGCCTGATATGACTTTCTTTCATTCATGAGCATAATTTATTTTATGCGATATTTTCTGCTTCATTGCATTTCTTCTAGTCAGCAGGTTTGATCACTTCCAAGCTCACGACAGCTGTTTTGTGTCTGGTTTACAGAGATTGAATGAGATAAACGGGCAGTATCAAGAGAAATTATTGTCTATTCGTGCCCGCCAGGTCGCCATGAGAGACGATTTCCTCCGAAGGGAACAGCAGATCCGCCACCAGCAGTATCAGCAGGCTTACCTGAGCAGCTACCAAGGCAGCGGCGGGGCCGATCCTCATCATGGCTTTGGCTCGGCCACCGCCGCCGCTGCGGCTGCACTTGGAGAAGGTCCCCGCTCTTATGGCGGAGGCCAATTTAACTCCTACAGAGAGCGACAGCAGCTCAGCGGCAGTGGCGGCGGCAGAGGCCGAGGCTTTGAGTCTCGTGTGCCCTACCATGGTGGTGGCCGAGCCTATGGCTCCAATTCCCGCTATTACTGAGACCCCTCCCTCAGGCCGCATCTTCTTGTACCATCTTGCGCTTCATAGTCTCTTCTCCTCTATTTTTCACTCTCAACATGTTCTCATAATCAATCACCACATGACGGGCAATCTACTTCTGTACTCTCTCTCTCTCTCTCTCTCTCTCTCTCTCTCTCTCTCCCTCTCTCTCATACACAGACAGCTTCAAGGGTGGGTTCATCTGTATGTAATTCATGGAGAAAGGAGGAAGACCCAGAAAGTTACGACGATGGAGATTCAGAGCCCATTCCCGATGGCGGCTTCCGCCTGGCTTTTGTAGGATGCGTCCACATCACCGGTCAGCAAGAAGCATGAACAGTTCGTCTCTCCATGCAACGTCCTCCCACTTTCCGGCGATCCCTTCGGACCTTCTGATTGCCTCCGGGAAAGTGGCGGTGGGCCATTGCAAGCACCAGCAGGGGGGTTCCGATTCCGCTCGCTGGCAGCTCGCTGCCCGAGTAAGCCAGGTACCCATCAGATGCATAATTATACCTTGCTTACGTTGACTAATGATGGGTTGTATGACTAGCGGTCGTTAAGAAAATTACCCAGATTAGCTGTTCATTTCTTGCTTAATGTTAAGTTGGTGGTGGCTCAATCGCTCAGATTTTTTCCCTTGTGGAAGCGAGTTAGCAGCATATTCCGGGTGAGGAAGGCCATCAGCCGTGCGTGTCGTTCCATCGAATACTCAGCTCCACCGGAATTTCCGAAGCATCTCCAAAGCCGCCGCCGCCGCCGTAGGTGGAATCTTAGAGCCCTCCGGTGGGAATAACTTATGACTTCACAACCACTCGACAGATGGCCTCGAATGGTGGGGCGGTGGCCGCCGGCAGCGAGAGGGAAGTGCCTTCCGAGGAAGTCAACGGGCCATGAAAGGCGACCCTCCGACGTAACGAGTCGCCATCTCCCCGTGGCTTCTTCTCAAAGCTTCTCTCCAGCCCATCGAGCCCACTGCGCCGCCGCCGATTCGGCGTGGACGAGGAGGGAACGACGCCGCACTTCAAGGACCGTCATAGATTTCCCGGCAGTTGCGGAGGAACGTAGGGTTCAGTTAGCAGGAGCCCCCTCGACGTTGCTCCCCTCCGTCATTCTCATCATACCTTTCTCTCTCTCTCTCTCTCTCTCTCTCTCTCTAGCTAGATATCCAGTTTTCCATGTCAACTTGACCCCTCTATGGCCCTCTCTAGGGTGATCGATAGGGGTGATAACATTCGGGAAGAAACGGGGAGCTTCCAAGACCAGGCGGCGCACCGATGCGATGGAATCCACGTCGGAGAACGGCCGGATTCCACCAGCACCCTCTCATTCCCGCCACGTGCGAGTTAACACGTGTTGGCAAGAACCCTATCCTCCCCTCCCTTCCTCCTCCCTCGTAGAGCAGCAACGCCCTTTCTTCACGCATGGCACGGAAGTGGCGTGCCTCTTCCTCCGCATTCCGGCCACTCCCTCCTCGTCGGACTCACACTACTGAGTGGAAATCACGGAAAGGCCCCCACCGTAGCCGTGGGACGATCGGGAGGAGAGAGGTGAGAGGGGCAATGTGGTCAGTTGCACCGGAGGAGGCGGGTCATGAGAGAGAAAGTGGCGGCGGGAGCACCTGCATGGGTTCGCGGATGAAGATGTGGTTCCTTTTCTCCTTCCCTTTCTCTCCCCACATCGGTTGCCGGTTGAAAATCCGTCCATGTTCGTTGAATGACGGTCCTTAAATGGACGACGGACACGAGAGCTTCTGCGGCCTTGTTGCAGAGGAAGAGAGTGTAGAGAGAGAGAGAGAGAGAGAGAGAGAGAGAGAGAGAGAGGGAGAGAGAGAGAGAGGGGGAAGGGGAATTGGCGAAGATGGTGTGGAGGCCGTGTTTTCTGGACCTGGCGCTGGTGCCCTCCTCTCTCTTGATCTCTCTAGCCTACCACATCTGGCTCTGGCGCAAGATCCGGACGGCGCCGCTAAGCACCATAATCGGCATCAACTCCGCCGGGCGCCGCCGATGGGTGGCCGCCATCATGGAGGTACGTAGCAGAGAAATCTCCATAGCCTGCAGCAGAGTTAGAACAGCCCAATCTCGGCTCCTTGTGCCCCTGCAGAGAGATCCTCTGCAGACCTTCATCTCTATCGTCCTTTCTTCGACTACAAAGCCGGCGACTTTAACTGAAAAAAAAGAAGAAATAAGGATACAATAGGGTGACGGGCCCCGCTCACTCTGTGAAAGCCTCATGTTTCAGGACAACGACAAGAAGAACATACTGGCGGTGCAGACGATACGTAACGCTATAATGGGATCGACCCTGATGGCGACCACCTCCATCCTCCTCTGCTGCGGCCTCGGTGCAGTCATCAGCAGCACCTACAGCGTCAAGAAGTCACTCAGTGAGTCCATCTACGGCGCCCACGGCGAGTTCATGGTCGGCCTGAAGTACGCTGCGCTCCTCGCCATCTTCATCTTCGCGTTCCTCTGCTACTCCCTCTCCGTCCGCTTTATAAACCAGGCGAACTTTCTCCTCAACGTCCCCACTGGCCTCTTCGCCGGCGACCCGTCGTCTCTCGTCCTCTCGCCGGGCTACGTCTCCGACCTGCTGGAGAAAGGCTTCGTGCTCAATACCGTCGGCAACCGGCTGTTCTACGCCGCCCTCCCCCTCCTTCTCTGGATCTTTGGCCCGTCGCTGGTCTTCCTGACCTCCATCACTATGGTTCCCATCCTCTACAACCTCGACGTATCCGCTTCCACCGATTGGAAGGGCGGCCAAAATGGCGTTGGGGTGGAGGAGAAGACCTTCGTGTGAAGAGACCAGGGTGACGTTGACCGAGCTGCATCACTGTCTCCACTCCTTTCTGTTTTTCTGTTTCCCTCCCTCGTCGATAGGGTTGATGAGATGAGTTGAGATGACGCTTTCAAAAATAATGAAAGCGAAACAATAATACTCGTTTATTCGAGCTTCACCACCATTAATGGCGGATACCGCCCATGGACTGTTCCTGTTCCACACCAATATAGACACGGCAATTCGCAAGAATAATACTAGAAAAAGGGAGGGAGAAAAGGGAGAATTAGTGACGATCTTCTAGTAGAAAATTCCCGGGAAGAATACTAATCTGGCCCCGTCAGCTCCATCCACCGAGAAACCCACCTTTGAACGGTCGGCAAGTAGTCGGGTGGAGCCGCTAAATCGACTCGTACCTCCATTACCGAGGAAATCAGAATTCAACAACCCTTTTCTGCAGAGCCATCGGATTGAACTAACCTACAGATCAGACCCGCCATTCGCCTTTCGGGGTCTCCAAGCCATAGCCCAACCAGGCAAGCCAGCAAGCCTGGAAAGGGATTCCTCCTCCTAAATAGAAATATTCTTCTCCGTTACGGGAGAGCAGCAACTAAAGTGCGCCGTGGGTCATCAATATCCCTTCTTGGGCAGCCGTACCCACACGGTTGGCCTCAAGACCAGTTCTTGGGGACAAAGCTACCCGTCACAATGAATTAATTTTACTTTAGTCTAGCATATATTAATTCGATATTAAGCGCTTGGTATGGAGGATACTATAATTTTTTTCTCTAAACTTTGCAAACGAACTCACAAGCCCCCACCTATCAGTTCTAATCTTTGAGTGAGAGAGAGAGAGAAAGAGAGATGTGAGAGATGTTCACACTCCTTGTGAACTGGTGGGGATGTGTGACGACCCAAAGCGTGGAGGCCAAGCATCTGCGTAAACTCCGGCCCCCTCAGATGAGGCAGCGTATGCGCATGCGAGATTCAGTCTGGTGTGGCACAGGGCACGCCACGCAGTGACAATGCACACAATGGCACGTGCGAAGGCACCAATGCATTCAGTGGGTGGGCATTACAGACCTAATAGGATGACGATCAGCGACTATGAACCTCATTGCCTGGAGGATGGAAGCATCAACCAGTACGCACGCAGTGGGCACATATGGCGGGGGCGCATTGAGAGATTGCGGAGCGAGATTTTCATGCGTCGATTTTGGAGGTGATGTGTAGTGGTGGTAGACAGGATAGATGGCACTGGTACGCATCTTGTGCAACGCAAGCGTGTGGCGTGCAATCAACAAGTGTTAGGGCTTGCATGGCACGAGATACACGATTGATAGGAATGTTTCCAGGTGTGATTGCTGGACTGACTGCGCTGGTGGCGTGTGATTAGTGGGACAAGTCTCATGGGGTGTGTGCATGAACAAAGAAATGATAAGGTTGGTAGAGAGACATGCACGTGTATCCAACTCTTTCTAACATTTTCTATCAAAGCTAAGGGTTAGGAGATTGCAATGGAATGTGACTAAGGTGAGCACAAGGCAGGATTGTTTGTATATGAGCTTGTAGCGTGTATGGAACTATTTAGGGTATTCAAACACTAATATACTTTATGGAATAATTATGTAGGGAGTGCTAAAAATGGTGTTTATAATAATGTTGTCATCACACCAACCCCCCATAACTATTTTGGGGGAACCTCATTAACTCTCGAAGCGTTGATGGTGAATGTGAGTGTGAGCTGATGTACCTCAGCCCACCATCAATTAACTAATTTTAACAGTCATTGTACCAATTTTGGAGCCCACAATCTTTTCTTCGAGCAATGAGTGTCTAGGTTGGGCCCAACACAAACACCAAAAGATATGCACATCAAAGTTGTCAACTTAGGCAAAAATATGCTGATTAATGATGCATATGATACTCATTTCCATCTTGTAAGCTATATGATTCCAACATCACTGTATTTATAGATTTATTAACCAATGCCTAGGTGATAATCTTTTTGTATTCTTCATAGTAACCAATGTGAGCAAGGTAGCTTGGGAAGAATTATAGCTATTTTCAATAGTGTAGCCATGCGATGAGTTATTTGAAATAGGTGTCTGCGCACCAGAAGAGGCTCGTTGGTTTGTCATCGATGCATGCGCATGCATCCAAATATGAGGCATCAAAAGATGCACATACAGTCCTACATGTATGAGAGCACGTGCAATAATTTAATGTTTTAAAGTATTTTAGGGAACATTAATAAAGTTGTCTATGTGCTTTTTATTTTACTAATACGACCCACTACAAGTTCCACTATGATCGAGTGTTAAAGAAGAAAAAATCAATATTTTTTTATACATATTTTACAATGTAACATTATCATTTCACTCACATATGCCTTTTTCAACATTAAAACTAAGAAGATTTAAAAAAAAAAAAAAAAAAGACACACACGCACGCACACACTGAAAGATTCCATACCCAGGCCGTAGTTGTCCAAGTTATGGGGCATGGTAAGCTTAAGCCCCATACCCAAAACTAATCAATGCGTTTAAATATAACTTGGGCTCAATTAAGACAAAGATTGTTAAGTACCAAGTCTGATTTAGGCAGACAGCTCACACAAATGGCTCAGTGCACTAGTGGGTAACGTAGCTCGTGGGCTCAATCCTCGTCATCCTACCATAGAGGAGTTGAAGGATGCGTCTACCCAATCCTACGATATGATATTAAATCATGAATTGACTAAGGCTTCAAAGCTCATCCTTGGGAAAGCATTATATTAAATCGCTCATCTGATTCGAGTAAACTTGACTGATCAGCTGCGCTGAAATAATCCGTCAAGCCAAGGTCAACAGGAAGCATCCCCCAGCCACTACCAGATAGTTAGCTGGCCGTCTCACCTGTGGTTGCAAAAGGAGTTAGCAGAGGTGGCGGCCGAAGGCTTACCGCAGAGCACAGGCACAAACACTGCATGGCACCACAGTTGACCCGCCGGGGCTAATCCACGCCAATTACTTAGTCTTGGGAGCATCCTTGGCTTTCTCCCTGGCTGAACCCACTAGACTCTCTTAACTTCATCATCAGGTTTAACGCGTTCATACAAATCCTGTCGGACCCCACAAAAAAAAAAAGAAAAAAAGAAAAAAGAAAAGAAATCAGAGGCCCTCCCTCCCCCACCATCTCCCAAAACCAAAGATGAGAAAGAAAGAACCCCCGTTGAATCGAATCGAATCAGGCGATCACTGAAACATGGATCAGCTTTCCTTCACGAGTGTGTGCCTCTCCTGTGAGGCGGTAGTATCCTGTCAGGCTCTCCTCCTCTATGACGGACAATGACGGCTCACTATGGCCCCCTCAGTCCCCGGAGACATACTTCTTCTGTGCGTAGTACTTCTTCTCGCTCTCCCCCTTCTTCTCGTTCCTCTTCTGCACACACAAGCCACCGCCCAAAGTCAACCAAGTGGGTCGCTCTCAAGAAGAGACAATCCGATGGCGCCCCGGGGGAGGAGGACTCACCTTGTAGGCTTCGTGGTTGTCTATGATTCTCCTGGCTATGGACAGGCTGCTTGTGTCCCTGGGGCTCTCAATTGTCCGGAATATTCCCAGGCTCTTGGGCACCGTGTAAGGGTCTTCTCCATGCTGAGTTCAGACAAGTCAACGCAAGAGATCAGGTGGAAGCAGCAGAGAAGAAAGAGCATGGGAAATGAAAGAGGTGAGGTGAGGCGAGCGACTCACGCAGCTCCCTTCTGCAATGGTCCCACGGACGACTGTCGATATGTTGAACGTCATGATCTGTGACATTTACCCGAAAAAAATGGTTAGCAATAGTCTTAATAAAAACCGAAAAGCTATCTATATTGCAGACGAAACATTTTGAAAAATGAAATACTTTGAAATAATATTCTTCCCGAAAAGGAAATCAATGAAACCATCAAAAATTGCATTGCGCATGCCCACAAAGATTGTCCGCAGAAAACAAACAGTAGGACTATTGGTATGATTACACATGAGACGAGTTATTTTCAAGACCTATGGAATGCTGATAAACAGCTGCCTTAATTCAGGGCGAGTGGACCATGGCATCTACTAAACCTTGCTGGTTTGGGCCAATTAATTAGGTATGAACCAAAGAAGCTTGCCCCCATAAAATTTCATAGACGGCTGGTGAAATCGTAATATATAAATAAAGAAATATATATATATATATATAGTGGTGTAGATGAAACTTATGTAGTCCTACATTACCTACCATATCTTTTGTGACTTCCCAAGGTGCTCCAATTATTACTTCATCAACGTATCGACATGCAAGCACCGAGAGGCTACGCTCGTGGAGATGCATTATCGGATGAGTTCCTTTGTTTTCCCTGAAAATAAAGTTGGCAAATCATATCACCCATAATAAATATGCATAAATCACCCAACTGGACACCGCTGATTCAAATGGAGCTGGCCACACGAGCTTATTTATTTTTTTCAGATAACGAAATTCAAACTTTCATTTCTCTTAGACAAGGTTTTTTAAGGCAACTCCTTGCCTTTGGGGAAGTAGCTGCTTATGCCCACTTTTGATTATTAAAAAACTGATTCTAAGTAACAAATGAGATAAAGTAATTCGCATAAAACCAAAGAATGTTACGGTCATAGAAATCAATGATCAAATTAAAGTATTGTAGTTAATGGCATTAATCTTCCGGAGTCTTAAGAAGAGGATGAAGAGAGAGATGCTGTACCATGCACGCCTCCAATCGGCCAAAAACATGCATGCGCCTGTGAAATGCGGATGGCATTTTGCATCAAAATATACCTGACGTCAATAAATTTTAATTCGAAAAAAAAACATCACAAAAGAGTGTAGAGGACATTCTGGCAAAAATTTAGTTCCTTCGAGGTGGATATTTATTAAAAAATGGGTTTATTTCAACATACAAAGCTTGAGACACGTTTGTGAATCTATAATCCTTATAAGAACTTGACGAAAAACATAAGATATTGTTAGTAGATATCCCAGACAGATTGTCGTGATAAGGACGACTGATATACCTCACAGTTTGGTCAGCATGGACACCTACGAGCAAGAAGTCTCCAAACTGCCTAGCAATCCTTAAAATCTGATAAAGAAAAAAAAAGAAATAAATCGACTTCAGCCTTTTGGACTAATGCCAAACACTATTATCTTTCTAGAAAATAAAATATGAATAAAAATAATGCGAAGGATAAAAATATTCCATTACATAGCATGACGCAAGAAGAGGATGCTATCCCATACTACACTGGAAAAAAGTTTACTTACTCTTTGAATAACCCGGTTATATATGATACACAAAATCTTCCCAGTCTAATCAGCCCTCTCATCATCATTCAAATGATAAAATTCGTATTACATCTGTAGTTACGTTTGGCAATACTGCATAATCCCAGTATAATTCATCTGTGTCCGTAATATTCCTGATTTGGCAATTAGACGTTCTTGCTAAATGGCCAATGAGGCTGAGTGTGGGTTTGTGATCATAGAAGTGGATTAGACAGGTGTAACGCAGAGAAAAATGGGTTCTGATCATTGCAAAGAAAGCTCATTAGATAATTTCTCTGCTTTAATTCATAAATCAACATGAACAAAAAAATGCCGAAAATGAACTGCAAACAATGAAGTCATAATTATATAAATAATTGGCTAATTTTATTCCTATTCGGAAACAGTTCAAAGACCAAAACAGACAACATAAATGCAGAATTCCTAGCTGACCGAGAGCTACCACAGATATAGGAGTTTCAGGACGTCACACCTCAACATGGCCAGCATGAAAAAGATCAAATGCACCATCAATGTATACCACACGGGCATTTGGTCCAGGACCCTGCCATTCAAGGGGAAATGTAAGAAAGAGGTTAATCGCTAAGCCATATATAGCATTTCACAGCAAGATAAAAAAAATTACACATGTCCAAGCTTCCTCAAAGGTATGGTTGAGTGTAAAAATTTATTGATTTTACATGTAAGTTTACCTTTAGATACACAAATTGACGTTATGAGTCTCCTAGCTGTGGCATTTTGACAGCAAGGCATACAAGGATTACCTTTCCGTTTGAAAATTGCACGATCCTTCGTGAGGTGGGAAGGAAATACGGCACTTGTTCCCCATTGGCATCATTCCCTTCAAAACCAGTATCATCTTTGTCCTGCAGTCTTTCGTGGGTGGATGCATTATTCTTCTTACGATCGGGATCCATATTCTTCATATTGCTAAGTATCCTACCTATAAATAGAACAAGAAGTTAATAGCTAAGAATTTCTGGTGACATTCACCGAATCAAAAACAAGAATGAGCCAACCAAAAACAGGTAATTGTTAATGTCAGAAAAAGCAAGGTGATGATGACTAAATAAATAAACACGCTCGCAAATGATGAAACACAAAGGTCTTTGATATAATATCATTGTGACATCACCAAGAAGATGGTATTTGTGTATGTACATATATACATATACATGGACATAGATGTATAGATGTTACCAAATATAACTTTTACGAGATCAAGATTCACATCATAATTAGTAACCCATATCATCCACTGAAACTATAATTCAATAACTCTGTCTAAGGGGCTTCAGAACTAAATGCAATTTCGGATACCAAAAGAAAAGTTGTCTGGAGTAGAGTGCTAATAAAGGTTGGGAAATATTTTTTTTTTATGATGTAGTCAATGTCAGAGAAGAGGAGTACCAACAATATCAGTGCTGGAGACACCCTCAGTCCGCTTGATTTCTTTGTATCGCCCTGCCCTTTTCGCCAAAGCATATGCATCAGTTCCATCAGGGAGCAAGCAAGGGTCATCTCCATGAATGATGTAGTCGATTTTGTAGTCATTAAAGAGTACATTCATGAACTTCTCATTGATCGCGTAAGGAACGTTGGTGATGACCTCATCCACCCACTTTAACCCACTGACAAGGAGAACCCTGCAAAAAAAATTGGGACGAATTATGCGGTGCTTGGATTCCAGATGAACGGAAACTGCTGTAAGTCCGTGGAAATTGAAAAAGACGGAAAAAAGCAAGCGAAAACAAATTTTCATGAGTTATGTTCCTTGGTTGGTTGGGAAACGACGGCAAAGAGGGTGGTGCCCCTCGTGAGCCCCTCTGCATTCAAATAAGACGCTTCCTTCTTCTTCTTTTTTTGGTGGGGGGGGGTTGGGGATGGAGGACGGGATGAACTGTGAAAATCAGGAAATCGGTCGAAAACAAAGCTACTTCTACTTCAAAACAAGATTCTCTAGTAAGCAACCACAAACGGAAACAGCGAATCGTACGGATTGTCCTTAATTCTGCCCATCTCAGATATCGGTCCAAATCGTCGGGAATACCATTCTGAGGGCCCGTCCCCGAAGCAATGAAGGTTCGGGTAAACTTTCTTACCAGTTTTCAACGGTCTGGACAGATTCAGATCTTTGGAGAGGGGGCATGGCAAAAGGCAAGTAAAGAACGGGCAGTCCGCAGCGAAATTCTCTCCATGGCAGGGCACCTACCTCTCCTCCATGGACAAGACAGGAGGCCCCTTGTTGGCGATGATCTCCTCGTCCCCGACGATCCCGACCACGAGCTCGTCCCCGAGGGCCTTGGCCTGCCGCAGGGCGTTCGCGTGGCCGTAATGCATCAGGTCAAAGCACCCATCCATGTACACGCGCACCGGCCTCCTCCCACTCGATTTCTTCTTCTGAGTGAACAGCACCCCCAGATCCGGCCACAGGTAGGGGAGGTAGGGCATCCCGATCCCGCTGATCACGGCGGCGGCCGTGATGCACATCATGATCCCCCCAATCCCCACCAGCCGCGGGTAATGCACCCCCTCCCACAGCCCCCCGCCGCCGCCATTCTCCAGCTCCGCCCATCCTCCTCCCATCCTTCACCACCGCCACCGCCAACACTGCTGGAACCCCTCCCTCTCTCTCCTCTCTCTATGTAGCTACCAGGTGTTCTGACGAGAATCGTAACCGGAGTCGTCGTCGTCGTCGTCATCGCACCTTCATATCGGTGACCAGACCACGCTCACGTTGCCCCCTCTCTCTCTCTCTCTCTCTCTCTCAACGTACGTTCAGACAGCGGAATCGCAGGATACGGCACGTTGCGCGGCGTGCGTAGCGCCACACACAGAAGCAGCGAGCGTCGGGCCCACAAAAATCATCATCTCAGATCTGACAACGACGTTTACGCGGGTGCCGCCGTGGAGACGCATTGTCCGTACGATAGAACCCTCGGGAGAAAGCCACATCGACAGCGACCGTCTGATATTCTGCCGACGTAGCAGCCGCCTGTCCCACACGCTGAATGTTCCATCGTTTGATCGGAAACGAACGGGAGAGGTCCTTCGGGACTGGAAGTTGGGATATTCGCCAGCGAGTCGAAGCTAATGGGCAGCACGTGGCGGGCCCTACCAAGAAACTCGAATAAAAATAAAGTTACACCGCCGGGCGGCAACGACCGGCTGAGCTGCATCAACGCAAGCGTCTTACACGTCATCTCCTCCCCTCCTAGTCAATGGGCCGGCCCGAGGCGATCTCGGGCCCGGAAAAACGGGTACACAAAAAAATAGACACCAAGGAAGAAAAGCTGAAAGCTTTTTTCTTGCGGAGAGAATAATTGCAGGAGAGGAAAGGGAGCTCCTACCCCTGAGTCGACGCAACAACACCGTCACCATCATCATCATCGTGGGTTAAAAAAGAAGGAGATGGCGGCGGTGGCGGCGGCGGCGGCGGGAGGAGAATCCGGCCGATGCCCAGGTAGTCTTCGGCGAACTCCTCGTCGTTCTTGCCGAGCATATCCCTGAGGGTGCAATCAACGTTGCGGCCCCGCAGGAGGCGAAATCTGGGCTCGATCTTCTTCTCCAGGGAGTAGCTGAAGTAGCGCGGGTACTCCACCACGTCCCTCAACGGCCTCCCCATGGCGTTGACCAAAAACTCCAGCTTGGGCCTCAGGACGGCGCCCACGCTGTACCCCAGGATGGGGGAGAACCTGAACACCATCGACCCCACCTGCCCCTTCGACAGCCCCGCCTTCATGAGGAACCTCGTCCTACACAGACCACACCCCAAAAAAGAAAGGTGATGATGATGATGGAGTGAGTCAACGGTCCCCTCTCAGACAGACAGAACAGATACCGCCTTATTTTTATATATATAAAGTCAACGCTAGTTTGTGTGTATGTATGTACCTCGGAAGCAAGGCGCGGTCAACGTCGTAGAGGAGCACCTCGGGGTACTTCTTGATGACTCGCGGAAGATGGGCGCTCGATATGCCGAGCTCCGTGAGGAAACCGAGCTTCTTCGTCAGAGTCTGCTCCACGTCCGCGGCGAAGAGCTCCGGGCAGCGGCACAAGATCTTTCCGATGATCTCGTGGTCAAAGCCGACCTCTTCCATAAAAGAGACGACCTGTGACAACGAAGTCGACCCACATTCATGGGCGGCGGGGCACATCACAGGAGATTCTCAGGGAGTGCACCAAGATCGAAGGGAATGGGGGGGCGCTGACCTTGAGAAAATCGTCTGGTCTTCTCAGCAACAGTTGAGGGCTGGTAGTGATGATCTTACCGAGCATCTTACTCGAAACCCCAAGATCACCAAATTGCCTCACCATGATCTTCATTCTGCTGGTCGAGCATCCCAGTATGTGAGGCCAGCTTCTGACAGCACGGTCGATGCTTGCCTTCCCAACCTGAAAGAAGAGCGAGCATCCATTCTCACTACCAGTACTCGAGGAATCATCAACACATTATTTGATGTGAGTTGCTGCCATTGGGACAGAAGGAGCATGGTTTGGAAGATCTGTGGATTTTGGTAAAATGATAGCAATACTAGATCGACAGTCTGCCCTCTAGAGAGCAAGCACTAGGAAGGTAAGAACGGGTACAAGACAAATACCTTTTCAGCTCCCAAGAAACTATGTACTTTGCCGATGTTTTCCTGAATGCATGTTGAGAGAATCCAAGGGTATTTCACAAGCATCTTGCCGACATCTTTGCCCTCAGCGCCAACCTGCCATGCAAGAAATAGCAGAAATATGGTCGATCTTGAAGAGAGAGAGAGATAGAGAGAGAAAGATGATCAATCTTCAAAAACGTGTGGATTTTTCGGAATGAACTAGACACATCAGGTGTAGAATTACACCAAAAGGAGGAAAATGGAGAGCAAAAGCTTATTCACCATTTGCCATCATCAGCAAGTACATATCAGCAAGCGAACCGATAAACTTTCTGTCGAGGTGTATCTGAGTCAGGTTAGCTGTGTATCTAAGATGTTCGCACCTGAACTTCTGTCTATCATTGACATGTCAAAAGCTAACAATTTTCAGAAGTAAATCGCTAAAGACCATTTTTCCTGTAGATTCAACATTTACCAAACGACTGAGATTAATGCTCCATAGATTCGTAGCCTTTCAATTCTTCACTGTTTGGATGATCAAATTAGTTTACACTTTCCTTCAGGGTCATATTGATCCCCGGAACATTTTCATTTATATCAATTAAGTAACTAGAAGATCCTTTGAAATTTAACTCTTTCTTAATCAGGCAGAGTGTTCATATCCAGCACCTTCCGTATCAGCAACTAGTTTTCATAAAAAGTCTTCAATCCAGATTATCCCGTTCTTCTTCTCATAGAAAATAGGTAGTGCATACATTATGTGAGGCGCATAGAAATTGTCGAAAATAAAAAATCAGTTTTCATCCAAAGTAATGCTGAAAACAGACAGTGATACTTCTACATTCAGAAAGATAATTGATTAATAAGGATATAAGTACGCATAAGCATGAATACCTGGCTTAATCTGTCAATTCTTGGCTTGATATCATCCTCAATATCATGAAAAATAAGGGGAGGGAATAACAAAAGTACATCCCTAACGCATTCTCTGGTGACACCAACATCTTCAAGAACATCGATTAGGGGTCGTAATTGCTTGTCAACAGAACATGAAAGAAGCTGCGGAAATGATTCAACCAGGCAGGGTAAAGATGTATCTTTAGATCCCAGCATGTTGAGACCACCTCGTTTTGCTTCCATCTGATGAAAGTGATAAAAACATCAAGTTAGAAGCGATAAAAATTACGAAAATCGTAGCTATAAAAAGGGGTAAAATTCAGTCTTTCAATCAAAGCAATTCATACATAGGTCATACCTTTTCGAAAAAAGATAATGTTTTTTGGATATCCTCATCGATAGTAATTGATAGTTGCATCATCATTCGTTGAGCATTTTTTCCAATCTGTGACTCATGATCACTGCGCGAAAATAACATTTCCTTCACAAATTTAACCTATCACGAAATGCACGAATAAGCAAACAATGTCCTTCTCTGGAACAAAAACGCGAAAATAACCCTGATGGACTTAATGACAGTACTAAAGGGAGAAGCATACAATAACTTGATATAAAAAAATCATGAAAAATAATTAGCCTGAGTAAGCAATTGAAAAAAAAATTATTGTAAAAAAACAGGCTACGTGAGATCACAACAATCCGTCAAAGGAATGCGGAAGACAAGGAAACCTAAAGCTGTGTTCACCATATTTCAAAAAAAAATTAACAGAAAAGAACATAACAGCGAGAAAGTACATTGAACTCGATTTTGATCAATCAAGTACTTCCATTGCCTGATTAGATTATGACAGAATGTCAAGCATGGATGAAGGTATTTACTCTCAAAATGAACATAGCATTCATTAAGGAAACAGTTAACAACATCATTTTATGTTTCTGCAAGGAGCGGCAGAAAAATTCGGCATTATCCTGTTCTGACGTCCCCCTGTTATGTCCTCTCATCTTTCAGTCCTACTAAGTTACCGCTCTATCCAGCAGAAACAATTCAACAGATGGGGGCATAAACACTACGAGTAGAACCAAAGGCTTAAATGACAGGACGCCAAAAATGAACAACATGTCACTTCTGGTGTGAAATGCATTCATTTGGAGAAAGTACCCAGAAATATGTTACCTTCTCAATAAGCTCGAGGAGGCTGATGGAGGACACGTACCCAGAAATATGAACAGAAGACGTATACCTCAGACCAATGCTCTCGAAGTAAGGGAGAACACCCCTGTCTCCTTTCTTCTTCGCCATCAGATACACCTTCTTCCTGAAGCTAAGCTCAGAGACATATTCTCCTCTGCCCGCTTCATCCTGCCCACCTTCCCCTAACTCCTCCCAGAAACCCCACAGAGAGTGTTCATCGAGTTCCTTAACATTGCCCATCAGCATCTCCAGATACTTTGGGCATTTCGAGACGATCTCCAAGGAATCCTCCCTCGAGGCTCCACACTCCTCCAACAGTTGCACCAGGGCCTCCCTAGCTTCTTCTTCATCACCTTCTCCTTCCCGGGGAAGCCCTTCGCGGTCGCCCACCGAATCCCAGCCACTCCTCCCGACAGCCGGAGCTGCCCGGACAGAGAGAGCGAATCCTCTGGCGCCGCACTCACTGCAGAAGATTCTCGCCGGAAGCCGCCGGTGGTACGCGAGGTTCCTGGAAGAGCAAGGGTCAGCGCCGGTGGTACGCGAGAATTTCCGACGAGCCTCGACGGAGGACGACAGAGCACGAGCCGACGACACCGTCGACGCCATTCCCCACTCCCCTCCCCCACCTCCACCGATCAAATCCTCAAATCCCCATCGACGACGATGGTCAAAACCCTACCTCATCTTCGAACAAAAAAAAGATCCGCGCGAGCCTAGAATAAAAAAATAAAATAAAATAAAATAAAAAATCTGTGAATGCATTCGCCAGGTCCACACGAGACGCCATTACCCCCCTTTTTCCAACAAATTACGTACTTGCCACGCAGCCCAATGGCTCGCTCACTGACGGACGTTATTACCAAGCGGTATCGGATTCGGCGGGTATGAGTTTATAAAGTGTATACATAAAACTAATATTAATTTCCTACGGAATAAATAATTTAATAATTAGAGCCAGAAAGACCGAGAAAAACTCCTCCCAGAGGGTTTTCGATCACGGAAAATCCCACTACATGGCCCGTCGGATATAATTAATAATTGTGCTAGAAATAAAAGCTTTTCAGAACAAAACCAAAAAAATAAAAAAATCCAAGCATAATTAAGTAAATAAAAACCCATCATCCGATAATTTATTAGAACATAAATCACCAGAAAATAATATAAGCGATGGAAAAAAGTCTCTTATTTTCTTCATCATTTCATCAATAAACCTTCATCAATGGAATCATACTATTACCAAGAAGTCCAAGGATCCTGCAGCTTCTCTCAGTCTCAATCCTTCCGGAGATCAGAGGGGCGCGTTGGGTTCTGCGGCCACATACTCTTCGATGAATTTCTCAACCACCTCCAGGAATTCCTCGAGATGCTGCTCTCTCCATGCCTAGGAAAGTCAAAAGTGTGAGGTGAGGCTCTGGTCAACTCTCTACTCCATGTTGTAATCCGATGTTCTTCGTCGTCATGTAATTCCTCCCTGATTTAGATGTTTGCAAATAAATACATGCTCGAATATTAAACAATCCACATTGTTTCTATGGTGAGGAAATTAGTGAACTAAATCTGCTGTTTAAAAGAGGGTTCAGGTAAGTTGGGGATGAGTATCCCCGGACTTGAGACAGAGCGTCTTTGTGCATTGCGCGTTGACTATTATTAGTTGGGAGGAACAGTGGAACAAGGGGGAAGCATCGCATGAACAATGATGAAAATCCAATTCAACAGATAGATTGGGAGTCTTAGAAAGTCAGCCGGTGGATAAAGAGGAGGAAGGATACTTACATTGAAATCCCAGTCTCCCTCCAATTTTGGGTCATCTTTCTCGACCCAGACATATGTATAAGCGAGCAACGTCCCCGGATGATCCTACAACACGCCGACGTTAGTAACAGGAGAGTAAGAAACAGTCACAGATGCTGCAACCAGGAGGCTTGACCTGTCAGTTTGCTCGCTATTTTATTGTTTTGAGTCACAAAAAAAAAATAAAAAATTAAACTATTTCGATTATTTCAAAACATGCTATTTTATCACGAGGAGGAGAACCATCAGTGACCAGAAAGACCGCAATCCAGACGAGAACAAGGCTTATCAATATTTTCGGAATAAAAAGAAAATGAATATCTCATTATGACCTTCAATGAACCAACAAAAAATTGGGTAGGGCTGGAAGACACGTTTTAGGCACAATACAACTCAAAAGAATATTTATAATTAAAAATCCAATAAAATAAACTATAATCTGTGATATGACTAATAGAAAGAACACAATTCATAAAACGTGACTCTTCTTCAACATACCCTTCACCATAATGGTAGTCATAAGAATGTTAAGCAAAGTTTCTAAAGAAAAACTCCAATTCCAGTGGACAAGGTTGTTAAACGCAATAGCACAGGAGATGAGATGTTCTAGGGATGACATGACATATATTTTTGAAATTTTGAGATAAGCACATGGATTTTTGTAGATATAAAATCATCAAAGAAATGTTACACGTATTAAGTAATCAGATAAACTTGGGGAATGTTTGGCTCAGAATATAATGTAACTCGGTCCTTATTTGACATGCGTACTGGACTAGAGATACCAGCGGTTTCAAAATTAATAAGGAATCAGTTCGCAAAATCTAATTAAAAATCCCATCAGAACAATTATAAACGGAAACCCTGTACGTTCTCAGATATTATTTGCCTCCCAGTTAGAACCACTCCAATAGGAAAGAGTACAAACGTGTTTTTTTTTTTTTTTTTTGGTCAGTCTTGTAGTAAAAAGCTTACTATCAGTAGCTTAGTAGTAAGTTATTGCTTAATGTGAGAAAAATTCTATGATTTCAAGCTATGCCAGGAATACAGTTTAGAAGCAGCAAACTAAGAGACTTCATTATTCGTCACAGAAGGTACATATGAATAATTGAAAATTCTTACCATCCCAGAAACCTCCACAACGCTTCTCTCGTATTCAAAATCCTCAAAAACATCAAATATACCCAGTTCAATGTCTGTGATACCCAACAGAACCTGCATCAAAGATGACATTAATCAAAATGTGAAGAGGGTACAAACCAACACCTATGAGTATCTTCTTAGAGAACTGGAATCTTATGGAGAAGGTTCTTCTTAAAAGAAACAAGAGAGTTGAATCGATATGACCATGTAGAAATTTCAAAAAGGAGAAAATCAAGAGCGATGCCAAAAATTGAGGAAAAGACCTGTCTGGCTTTTATCCCTGAATCGGTATGTATTGACAATGATGATAGCGATGAGAAGGGATACGGCATCGCATTAATGTAAGTAGATCATGATGCCAGAACGATACATAAAATGAAGGTGCCGGGAATGGCAGAGTCAGATAGCAGAAACCTGGTAAGTGGTGCAGCCTTCTTATAGGAAAACGAAGAAAGCTTATAAGGTTGCAAATAAAATCTGTGAGTGTGACCAGCAAACCATTGGGCTGACGGTATAGGCAAGGTCTCTATGCAACCACTGAAGAATTTTTTTGGTTTACCAATGCAACTACATGTGAATTAGGAGGAGAAGGAAAAAAACAGATGCATGGGTCATTTTTTAACCAGGAGAAAGCTACATGTCAACATAATAGAAAGCAGATGCATATTGACACCAGGGTTATACTATGCAATGGTAAATTCTATGATACATGGTTTCCAGGATGTCAATATTTTGACTGAGACCCTTTCAGAATCCACAACGCGCTTACAGTAATGTAGAAATATTAACATAGTAATTTTATGAGAAGGTGCACTGCATGGCAATGACGACATATTTAGGTCAGACCATCAGTAAAAAAGACACCTTATGCATCACCTAGTGTTAACAGTATTCTGAAGAAGTTTTTCACTGAAAGCCTACAAACTTTAGGTAACCTTACACGATAACGAACCTCACCTTTCCATCGACCTTCTTGTTTTCCACAGGAATTATTGCTGGATAGCTGCACCCTTTAATACTAAACCTTTGACTGTATGATGGCAATAATTTATTAGTAGGCGCTTTAAAATAGCCACATAAGTAAACGAGTGGTAACTTTATCAATGGAGTATTCGCGGAAGGATTGTCCCACAATTTTTTAGGAGATATACAGCATGCTAAAATATGGGCAGATATCTACAACCCGAGGATATTTGGTCTCAGGTAAACAATGAGGAATCTATTATTGAAGAAAAACGGGTTACTTCGCTACAGAGGAATCACTAAACCTTGATGTTTGCCATCATCCGACCCCCCAGCAAAGTTCCTGATGGACTACAACAATACTACCTATAGGATGCCTCAACAGGAAATGGAAATTCGAAGGGTGTCAATTCGGTGAATGCGTTGACCTGTGAAATTCAAACGTGAAAACATTTTCTACGTGTATATAGACTTTTACGATTGGCTAAGTGGTAAATTTATGGACGAATTTTATGATTAGTTATACAAGGAGCGCCACTTTGGAAGATCACTGAGTAGAGTATAAGAGAAAAGTTTGGGGGTCTTAACCGCGGCTTAAATAGCGTGGGATGCTTCACATTTCGTAATTTAACAGACGAACATTTGGTAGAAACTCAGCTAAAAAATAGATGATAGAAATTGACACTGAGGAAAGAGAATTCCGAGGAAACCGATGCTGGAGGATTTCATCATCCAGAGCCTTGCTTAGTTATCTCCGCATGCGTCGCCGAACAGACTGAAGCAAACGTATGCACATGCCTAACGTGTGCATGCATGTGTGAGAGCGAATGGGAAAACAGTCCACAAATCGACGACAAGATACTTTGCGGGAAACAGAAAGAGAACTGAGAACAAAATCCGAGGGACGATGTAAATGGGGAACGAAGCAGAGAGAGCGATGCGGAAAGAGGGGAGAGACGCACTAGCCATGGAGGACGGCCGGGGAGGAAGGAGGGACGCGCTTGAGGAGAACCCCGACGATCTCATTCTCCAGCAGGGTCCCGTATACGAAGACGTTGTGCCGACCGACGCCGGTGCCGGCCAACGGAGGAACGGAGCCGACGCTCGACATTCTTCACCGCCCCCGCACCGTCCTCCCCTCGCAGACGCCGGACACCGACAGGAACCGCTTGATTGGCGGCTCCTATCCAATGAAAAGGGGAGGCAACCGGAGATGACGAATGCAGGTGTATATATAACATGTATTTACATATTTATATATTCACGCTTGCTTGTGAGAAGTGAGCAAGTAAGCACCACTCGTCTGTCACGTTTCTAGAACGTGCTTATCTGTACCATTGTTAATTCAAATTATTCAAAATTATATCTTAATATATAATTATATATTCACGCTCAATTACGTCATCAAGAAGACATGGCGCCCGCCCGCCGCCGCCGCCGAGGGCGGGTAGGGCAGGGGCGAGCAACCAGATGAAGGAAAAGAAGGAAGAAGAGAAGCCGAGTTGGGTATCGATCAGATCTGAGTATTATTCCTCCGGTGAAGCCGGCGGAGGAAACCGAGGGCAAAGCTTGGACGAGGCAGAGGGGAGTTGCGCACCATCCAGTGCGGCCATTAGTCTCTCGCCGTGAGCTGAAAATGGCGGGGCGTGGTGGAGAAGAGCATGAGCGGCGAAGGAAGCATCTCCGTGGAGCTTCTTCATCGTGAATCCATGACGGCGGCGGCCTCAGCGAGGGGCGGGAGGTGCTGAACGAGGGGGAGATGATGGGCTCTCATGGCCATGTGGGCGGCTCCCAGAAGTTGTAGGCTCGCCATCACCTTCCTCACCTCATTCGCCAGCTCGATCACGGAGTCGTCCTCGTGCCCTGCCAATATAGAAGAGCACGAGGATCGTCGAATCGAAGATTCAATGAAGAAAACCGGATCCGGCGAGGCTCAGCTCAGATCGGCTCCGTTCTCACCAATATCCGCCATCGCCGTCTCCAGAGAAAAGAGGTAGTCCCTGTTGTTCCCGCAGGGCCCGCTGGCCGTGGCGATCTGCCTGAGATGGGAGAAGAATCAGTTGAAGAGGAAGAAGGAGACACCCAGTTGAAGAACAAGGGAACAAGGGTAGAGAGAGAAAAAGAGAGAGACGAGGCAGCGAAGATGGGTCACCTCGCCATGTCTTCCAGAGGAGCCGGGCCCAGGTAGTATTTGTTGACCGTCTTATCGGGAGTGGAGGTGAACCTGCAACGTCAAGTGGATCATGAGAGAATCGCAAAGTCAAAAGGTTCATGAGAGAAGCTCGCTCGGATACTCACACTAGCACCCCACTCACGGTAGACCCCCCAGCATCATCTCCTTCCTGGAAAAGTCAAAACCAGACGCGTCGGAGAGAGAAAGAGATGAGAACAAACAAAACCACGGAGAGCTTGACGAAGGACTTGCTAGCTTGCAGCCCACCTTGTAGAAATCCACGAAGGTCTTGAGGTCGTACTCGCACTCTCTCTTCTCGAGGTACTTGGGGGGAAGCAACGATGGACGAGGAACCATCCATCATCGGTCAAGTCAGCAGGCAAAGAACATTTTTTTTAACAGAACGAGTGACTGCCGCCAGGAAGAGTGTTGTACCGTAATGGCGGCCTTCTCCTCCTCCGGTCCTCCTCTGACACGGTACGCAGCGCCCCACTGGGAGACGAGAGGAGAGGAGAGAAGAGGAGAAGAGAGGAGACCAAGTTAGGGCAGACGAAGTGACGGAAAAGAGAGCTGTTGGGAGGGAGGGCGGCGCAGAAAAGACCATACTTACACAGACGGCACCTTCGCTGGCCTCCAGGGTGAGGGTTCTGGCGGGGTTCTCCACCGTTCCTCTGTGATCCGTGCAAGCTGCAGATGAAGAACGTAAGAACCAGAGCAGCTCTCTCCGGCGAGTAGGTAAGAAGGTTCTCGGGCTTACCGAGTGTGAAGACTCTCCGGTAGCCCTTGATGCAGCCGACGACCCTCTCATCGAAGTCGAATCCGGGGTTCCATACCAGCGAGCCGTAGCCAAAAACCCAGAGAACCATCGCCGGAGGCCCCTGAAACAAACACCCAAAATCAGAGTGCATGCCATTGCAGAGGAAGAGGAAGCAGCAGAGAAGGCGGGAGGAGAGCAATGCGGGACGTGGGCCCTTCTTCTCGGAGACGGTGGGTGGCGGAGATCGTCGTCATCCTCCATTGCTCACCTGAAATCTTTCGGCGAGGCCTACCGGTGGCGGCGGCGAGAATCCTCTGCGCTCCCCGCTCTGCCGCAGAGAGAGAGGCCCATTTTATGGCGGCGGAGGGCCCAATCCGTTCCGCAGGATACAGAAGATCTCGCGACAAGTGGTCCCCTCGAAAAGACACTGATCGGATGGCCGTAGTTCCCAGCTTCACGGATCAGGTGGGGCCCACAAAATCGAATCTCGGATATACGACCGGAGGCAGAGGAAGCGTGATCCGCGGCCTGTGGACAGAGAGGGGGGATGTCCAGGTTCAGTGAACCCAGATGATCCATCTGCAAAAAATGCCGAATATCTCGCCAGAAGGCGTCCGTGTGAGCCGAAGTGCCACGAGGCTATTTAACAATTTACTGAAGTTTCAACATCTCTCTCTCTCTCTCTCTCTCTCTCTCTCTCTCTCTCTCTCTCTCTCTCTCTCTCTCTCTCTCTCTCCCTCTCTCTCTCTCTCCCTCTCTCTCTCTCGATATATATATATATATACACAGAGACATATACATACATACATGCGTATGTGAATTTAAATTTATGCAGGAAAACTCTGACGAAACACTAGTCTTCATATTCTTTCTAATATTAGCCACCAAGATGAGTGAAGTCTCAAGGGATCTAGCTCAAAAGTCAGACCTATTAACCACTATAGTTGAAAGATTAACTGGACTCTGCGAAGCCCTCTATCAAATCCAGAAACCCATGTGAAGCTGGCCTCCCCTCCTCTCCAAGTTCTGTCAATAGTGGCAGCAGTCACTGCCATCTCCTTGCCACTAGTTCTCCCCGGGATTAGGGTATCACTCTGCCATGCAAACTTTATGTATTTATTGTGCACAATCCGAAGAAGTTGACTCCATCTCTTCAGATTTTTCTATCCATTATGAGTGGATTGGGAATTCACTAGGTACTATTGTTAGTTCTTTTGGCCTTGGCATCTATCAAATGATGTCATTTCCATATGTCAAAGGTTGAGTTTGATGAGGTAAAGAGATGTTGTATAACTTCAGATAGTGGGTGAAGACAAATAGGAATTTGTGGAGAATGGTCAGAAATTGAAGGAGAAGATTAATATTGAAATTGATAGAAATGATTGAGAAAGGTTATGAGGAAACCTTAAAATCAGTTCAAGAGTGAGTCTGAGATCATCCTCAACTCTAACTCTAACTTTTACCTAAACAATACCCCAAAATGACTCTCCAAGAGTCCTTATACCCATATGCCTAATAGCTGAATGGTTGGCTTAATATTAGGCCCCATGCTATCAAGCTTGACAATAACCCCTTAGAGCTCCACCTTGTACCCAAAGTGGAATTCTAGAAATTTTTGTTAGAGAGTTTGTCATTTTTTTTAGAGAGCTTGTTATAGGGAGTGTTTTCATTTGATTTAAAACCTTCATGGTGCTAATGCTATGGCGAGTACTCAAAATCGGCTAATTGAGTGATCCATTTGAGTTCTTCATCTAAGGTAGTTGTGAGAAGGTAGGTGTATGTATTTGTTTTCATAGCTCTCTTCAATTGAGACATGTAAAAATAGGTAGATTTTGACAAATATTAGTGGTTCCACACAATATGCCTGTACACCAATCTCAATAAGAATTTTGAATAGACCAGAATATTTTTGTGTTCATTTTTTATTATATTTGTGGTTTAAAGATCTCACGTTTTTATGATCAAAGCTTGATGTAGATCACATAGCCCATATGAAACTCGACCTTTCATTGGTGAAGATTTATTAAAGCTTTCATTTCAGCACATTCTAGTTGATTTTTCAACTCCTATAAAAAAAGGTATCCTTGGGGTAACCTCTCCTCCACTTAGGCAATTAATTTCTATTTAAAATCAGACTCGATGTTTGGCAATAAATCATACATGTCAATCATTCTAAATGAAGTGATATTGGTGGTTGAGTGAAAGCTATGTTCTACCAAAATTTAGCCCATGATATTCAACAATTCCTTAACTTAGACCTAACATAAGAGAAGCAATAGAGCTAGCTACATTTCAAGACATCTATTTACAAATAGAAGCTTGTGATTCATTTAAATTTTGTGCTTGTCTTAAAATTTAAAAAGCTTAGTAAATATAATAAATATCTTGTTGTGGTCAGAAATGATAGAATGAATATTTCCATGTAATTCTCCATCAAGACTGTGTAGTAAATATATGTTTTAATGGAACAAAATAGACGTATTTACTCAATTTGTCTATGAGCATTAAAATCATTTGATGCTTGGTACAGTATGGAAGACTTTCAATAAAATATATAGTGATTTAATCCTAAATTTAATGAGAAATAAGCAAAGGCTATAGTAACCTTTGATAAATTGTATCATGTCTTGTTAATATAACTCTTAAAAAATTAATTTATGTGTCACCAAGTGACCTGAATGATCTCCTACCACACTATTATAATCTTGTAGAAGGTTAGTGGAAATCATATCCAAGTTTCATGATAGAATCAACTTGGTTTGATAAAATAAGATATATCAATAAAATTAGTATTTTGACCTCTCACTAACACCTTTTGATAATATTTTTTTAATTTTATCAACATTAGATCTATATTTTTTGTTTTTAAGATGTAGAGTCACTAAAATTAGAGGTGATAGTAGTGGACTGCATCAATATGGACACATGGTACCCTACAAATGTCAAAGACATAATTTTATGCGTATGCCTAATACTTAATTGTGAACTTAAACCCCAACTTCTTGGTTAGTCAATTCTAATGTTCAAGTAAAATCTATTGGTACTCAAAGAAATTTTAAGTTGATATATTTAATATAAATAATGAACTGAAAAGCCATCAAATAACATCATTATTATCAACTTCCTTCCATATATTGATTTTTGATGATTATGAGTAGAGAATGTTTGATTAAAGTATACTATTCATTTGTGATTTTATATGACTACTTCTACTACATATCTTGAAACATATATTTCTAACTCAAGTGTTTGAAAAAAATAAAATAAGTTTAGTATTAGAGATGTCATCATCGATCTTTTGATCATTTTAAAGGACTTCATTTCTTGTTCACTCTATTTCAAAGAATAGTTGTTGAATAATTATATACAAGCTTATGCAAAACTTTCATAATTTGTCACAAAGTGTTAGTAGCAACTTTTTAAGCCCAAAAAGTCACATAATTCTTAAGAGTTAGTAAGTCATTGTTGTCATCCAATTATACACCTTTGATTAAGACACAATACCTAAGATATTTGATCATTGAGCTACCAAATTACATTTATGTGTAACTGATGTTATTGAGTAATTGAAATAATTGAGTAAAATATAAGTCATAGACTTTTGTATTTGTCTTATAAATCATATGTCATTGAAAAACACTAATAACAATTTTTGGAAGGATTGAGAAAAGACCTAATTTATCATAGAGTAAAAAAAATTTAAGATATTTTTAAAACTAAATTATATTATAACAAAAAATTACAATACCCATTGTGAGTCATGAATGTAGCTGTGGGAATCTCATCCTCTTGCATTTAGATCTAGTGGCAAATAAATTTTAGATTATTTAGAAAAAACTTCATGAAATAAATCTAAAAATTATTCTACCAAAGAAATGAGAAACTAACCTGGTATAATATTTTCAAGGTCATTTTTTGACAAATTTATCTCTCCTTTATCATTATTAGTTTTTAACAATTCCATAATTAAAGGTTGTAGTCGTAAGAGGTTTGAATTCATATACAATTTCATCTTGAAAGATGAAATTATGACTTGTGTTACCATCAATGAGTACCACTATTTACTTGTGATAGATCATATTTTGAATTTTATAATCTCTTATGTTGTTCAACCAATAATGAAATATAGTGAAATCTCAATATTAGGGTCAAGATTCTAATTTGTCTTTCAACACCTTAAATTCTAATGATTGCTTTATATCACCCTTAGGGTTCTAATCATCTTCATAAATCAAAAATAGTCATCATTCTTTTTTACATATATAGTTCAAGTAATATTTTTCGTCACAATAGAAGTCAAAATATTTTCTTTTATCTTTCTTATAATTCAGATTTTGGTCAATCTCCTTGTATTACCAATTTATCTCTAATAAATTTTAAAGATTTTACTTCAACTATTTTATTCTCATAATTAGTTACTTTAAGATAAATGATGTATACTCATAGTAGTCACCTCTTATGATACTTATTTCTCTACTCATACTTTACATGTACCTTTTGCTTGTAACTACTTGATTATATAACTTTCAATTTATTATTTTTGGCCTCTATCGTTTAGATAATTTTCATGATTTTACTTAGTAATTAAACCTTTGCACCAATTTTTAATTTAATCCTTTATAAAAGCACTTACAATGACTCCTCTAAGATACAATCTAATACACTTGATAATAATTCAAACTCTCACATGTAATCAACCACTTGTCTTTGTTACTTGATATCTAAGAAATACACTCAAACTATTCTAGTTAATTGTCAATCAAATCACTTCCTCAATCTTACTTGTATTTTTCCTTATCTTTGAATGATTCTCACATGTCCAACCAATAAAATCCAATGAATATTTCATCATTTATGTTGACTCCTTCAGCCCTCAATTGATATGTCTTGATGATCCTTAGAGCTCAAAGTACATATTGACACAAAACATTCACCCTTATAAATTGACTCTATTGATTATAAATAACTTCAAAAATCATGCCTTTTTAAAGACTCATTTTCTTTAGGCTATAAAATTCAATAAAATCAAATACACTCGTAAAGACTCATTTTCTTTAGGCTACAAGACTCAATAAAATTAAATACACTTGTATGTTTCATCTTCCATAC